ACGCCGTCTGGAGGTGACAGGTTCAATTCCCGGCACTGTAACTATAGCTTTCGATTTTTATGTTGTCTAGTGTGTTCTTCTATCTTTCTACTTCTTTCTATGAGTGCCGTTCACAATACTTTCTGTTACTTGATTAATTCATAATATTTAACGGCCTCAAATGGTCCCCCCCCCCCCCCCGTTTATTTAATTTATCAGTACCGGGGCTGCAAGATATTTGAGCATTGACCCCAGTGAGAGCTCAAAGTTTAAGTAATCGCAATTGTCGCAAGGTACGTGCCAGACCAAAATAAAAACACTGTAGTAAATATTTTATAAAATAATTATTAAACTGACACTGAAAGAAAAAAAAATTGTAAAATATCCAACTCCAAATGAAAAACATCCACCATCTAAACGTCAAAAACACCATCTAAATGCAAGGGAAAACATCTGAAACTGGATGTAAAACATCTAAAGTGGCAACAGTGCCACTACTGGTCTATAAAAATATAGGTCAAGCCACAAATGACCGATGCGCTACTGGCGAGTAAAGAAACTTTTACTATATTTTGTTGCCTTTCAGCATATTATTATGCTTTTAAACTAGAACTTACCCCTTGAAGCCCTTCTCATTAAGCCTAGAAAATGTATAAAGCAGAAAGGGGGGGGGGGGGGTGGTTGGTGGTGGCTGAGACCCCTTACCAAATGTTTTCTTTCTATCGGCGCACCTAGTCTGGAGCTTCTTTTAGAGCTGATCATCTCCATGAACCAGCAAGTATAGATAGATACAGGGACGCTGTCAAACTATGACCACGGTTGTCACTTGCAAGTTTATTTCCTTTAAACAGAACACAATAGCAAGGGATCACGGCGCGTACATTCATTACCTTAACAAAAGCCGTGAGATCTGTTTAATAAGAACAGTGACTAGCATTTGATCCTATGTATTGTAAAACCAGAGCAAGCGCGGGGAAAAAAAATCGCACACATACAAGCGCGCTAATTACCTGCTCAGGCTGTTAAGCTTTGTCAATTAACTGTATTGTGTTTCTAACGTATTAAATAATAGTAGAATTCTAAACAAGCGCAGCCAACCTGGCACGCATTGGTTTTTTGTGTGTGGTGGTGGTGGTGGGGTTAACGGACCCTTTTTTTTAAGCCGGTGATATAATCCTTAAAAGTTAGTTGCGAACCTTTACAGGACGTTGCAGAACCAACCCCAGAATTTTTTTTGGGGGGCTGTTGTGGTTTTGTAGGCAACTTTTAAGTTCAGTAGTTTGCTATTGTCGGCTCTGTGGCTAAGTCGATGCGAGCGCTTCGTAATGCTAGGGTCGATTCCAACTGCGGGCAATGCGCCTTGCGTTGGTTTCGACAGTGGTGTCAAGAAAGCCGACCGTCCAGAAAGAAATAGCAAACTACTGGACGTAAATTGCCTAGAGAAACCATACAACAGCCAGGGGCTGCTGGGGTTGGTTCTGCAATGCCCTGTAAAGGATACGCAACTAACCTAGTTTGCTACTGCTTACTAGACGGCTGGTCTCGATACCACTGTGGAAAACCAACGCAAGGCAAAAAATCGCTAGCAGCTGGGATCCAATCCGGCACTCCTGCGTTACAAAACGGGTTCGCAACGCTTAAGCAAACCACGCTGACCGGTGGGTGGGAAATATCAGGCTATCCTCCGAAAAACGGTCCCAAATTATCGAGGCGGAAAATATACCTTAACAGGGCCTCAGTCACGTGTCAATTGCGCACTTCCGTCGTCTTAAAAGCGCGCTTACGGCGACTTTCGCCACCGCCGAATTTTTCGGCAACCTCTGACAGTGTTCCCCGCGCCGCGTGGATTGGGGCTAAACTAGATGGCTGGTACTCACGAGCAGCAGCTATCGCATCTCCTGCAGCTTCCTTCATTTTGTTTGATCGTGAGTCCTAGCCATCTAGTTTAGCCCCAATCCATGCCGCGTGAGCGGCGTGGGGGACACTCTCGGCGGTGGCGGAAGTTGCAGGAAGTTCGCAATTTGGCGGTGGCTTTATAGTCCCGGAAGTACGCAACTAACACGTGACTGAGGCCCTGTTAGGGTATATTTTCCGTCTCGATAATTCACGACCGTTTTTCGGAGGAAAGCCAAATATCATGCCGATGGCCATTACATTCCAGGACACAGAGAGGCACTCATTTTCTGCTGGGTCGACTTTTTTTCTCTCCTCGAAATCCACCCGCTGCGGATTCGAACTCAAAACCTTTAGGACAGAGTCATCACTCTACTGCTGCTTTCAGTTGGCAAGTGGTGGTTTGAGTTAAGAACCGACATAACTCACAAACCTCCTATAACCGCTGAATCCTCATCTTCAGCGAAGTTCAAACTTAACCAGTAGCATATATGATTATATGTCTGTTTGACCTTTTCTCTGAGTGTAGAATGTCGGACAGACCTCATGATCGTTCTCTCCACACGCTTCCACTTACTCCTGAATGGCTTTGATGAAATCTAGCTTGTCCTGCATCAAGTCACCAACAGTGGTGCAGCACCAGCCAATCTATCTTTCTCTTTACTTCCCTACATACCTGTATACGCTGGAGAAAAGAACTAAAAGGACGCTAACCTTTCTCAGCATGGTTTATGACTCTGTTAGAGTCCCATTTGCAACACCTCACACCAGAGAAAAACTAGACGTTGTGTTATCATATTCTAGGCTTTCATGTACCAAGTGACGTCAACTTGCTTTTGCAAAGAATCCCCATACAATTTGTTCCCCCGTCAACACAGAACCATGTAGGCTGCGACATTCATGCCTTAGGACCAATATTTCCATTTTCAACAACCACCTAATTAGTAATCTTTAACATTTTATGGTGGTAGTGGGCCTTTCCTGTTTTCCCCGAACATGGGGTCCTGCAACCCACCCAGAGGATAGAAGAAACGAACAGCGAAGTTTAAACTAGAAACAACACCACAGTAATAAATAATCTATTTCGGGTGAATGAAAAAAGAAAAATCAAGATCCATTTGCTTCTCAGATGGTCAGTGAAAACAACAGGGAAGTATGTTTGGGACAGGAAATAACGTAGTGCGTAGCTAACCTCGAGCGCCAGCATGGTCAGCATTAGTTTTACCGAAAGTCATGCAAGACTCCTACCAAATGTCCTCGTTGTGCGTCATGGGTTGATCGTCATCACTGGCCCAAACGAACATGCCAAAAGATCTCAGAGTTAGCGGCCCCTAGAGATGCAGTGTTTAGAAACCACAGGTGGAAACCTAACACTCAGCATGCAAAGTCCCCTTCCCACTTCCACTGGTACTGACATCCAAAAGAAAACGAAATGTGAGTTCTAAATTCCACAGACTGTGATTCCGAATGCTGCCAAATAAGTTTTTTTTGTGTTCAAATGTCCGTTCGATCGAAAATCCTGCTAAATGACATATTGGTTCAAATGTCATTGAGCTAAATGACCACTTCAGTCAAATGTCCATCAAAAAAAAAAAAAAAAAAACTCACTTGAAGACTGAAAAAATCATGTCCAAAGGCACACTAACTAGAGTTTCAGGACTGTGAGAGAAAACTGTGCCTCATGCATGCTACCAGAGAAACACGTGGGGGAAAACAAGAACAGACCCACTGCCTCCCCAACAAGCATGTCGTAAGAGTCAACTAACTGGGGGCTTCCTTCAAAGTCGGAGTGCATCTGCCTGAGTTGAGTTGAGTCAAGAATTGACATTACAGCACTCGAGGCATTTCCATGTGTGATCTGTCTTCATCTTCAGCAGCAACAGCGCAGAGTTCCAATACTGATGGTACCGGTCACAATCTGGTTATGTGTCCGTCTTGCCTTTCCTCTGAGTGCAGTTGAGCCTGCCAGACCCTCTGGTTACACCTCGATGCCTGATTCTCTCCAGGCCATAAAAATCTTGTTTCTCTACTAATTCCGTTGCTTGTTCCCAAAGAACCTTGACCACATCTGCCTTGTCATATAGCATCTGCCTGAGAGGCAAGGAACCAACAATCTGCATTCAAGTAAGTGAGATCTGTAAAATGGATGTGCATGCAACACTCAGGTTCTGGAACAAATATCCAGAGGTGGACGAACAACCAGAATTTTCCGCCGGAGTTTACAGCCAGTAAAGGCAAAGAAGAAACATAATGCATGAAACAGGGGCTGATACTATGTAACACTAGAGAGAAAAATCCCAGGGTCTAGTAAAATACATGCCAAAGGCACGCAAAGGGTCGTTTACTTACTAAATATTTTGTGCTGGCAAATATCCATCTCTGTTGTTGAAGTCCCAATTGCTCCTGGGTATCTAACCTGCTCTGCACTTGTATCTAAACTCCAAGTTGACTAGCAAGTTCAAAAGAGGGGAAGGAAAAGACATGCACAAACACTGACACGCATCCCTAATTTTTATAGGTGTCTCAGCCGTCTTGTCGGTACTTAAAAAAAAAAAAAAAAAAACCCAGGTAAATGGACCAGTTTTTATTTTTACAAAATCTAGGAATTTGTTCGAGAACAGAACATACACTTTTATAACTGTAGACCTTAAATTTCAGTTTTGGATGCTTTCAATGATTGAAGTGTTTTTTAATAGACATTTTTTTGTAGCAGGTTTTTTTCAGTGCAGTTAAAGAGAAGCATATTGTTTTGTTGATTTCTTGGTGACAATGGTAGGGGTTTTAATACCACTTGCTAGTGAGTAATTAACCCTTTCATCTCGGTGACCTAGAAAACAAAAGGGGGTGGTGTTAACTGACTTGCCTGGGGTTCCCATTTTCAGCTCATAATATTAACAGGATGTTCCATTTTCAGCTTAAGATAGTATGATCACTCTAAAACACATTCAAATCTTTCAAATGGTCATGGAACTAAAGCTTTGCCCATTTTCAAAATTAAAAAGAGACAAACAGCATAATTTTATGATAAAAGCATTTATGTATTATACATAAAATATTGAGAAGTTTAGGGGAAAAAACATAAGTAACCACTATTGAAGGACACAGCATAAACAACATTAGAAATGCAGCTACGCTGCTACCTCTACGTTTGAGACAGATGTCTTGTGAAGTTTCTCTTTAATCGTTTTCTTCAGGTCCCTAAAAGATAAAAAAAAAAAAAAAAATGTAAGTGATGGCAAGGAGTTTTGATACAATTGTCAGATTTTGTATTATAATTTGCAACATCATAGAAAGTTGAAAAAAAAAAAAAACAAACTTTTGTCTCCTTTTTGTGATCACAATATACCCATGTTCACTTTACACTGGATATTTTCACATAACCTAGGACTTTGCAAAACTAAGCTGGATCATTTTTAACCATTGACATGGTTTTAAAATTGTTCAGTTTGATTTGAAAAATCATCCAGCTTGATCTGAACTAGTTTAGTTGTTTGCCAAGGAAACTGCTACGAAGAACTACTAAAACATTGCTAATAATATCCTATTTAAGTTGCACCTAACTTTCACACACCTGTCCACTTGGAACATACAAAACAGTCAGTCTGGTAACATTTAAGTTCTTTCTCTTTGTCCTCAAGGTTTAGCTCACTTCGTTCATTTTTCATGTCCGTCAGGTTCTGTTCATCAGTCCCTATGTATCTGTTTTTTTACTTTTAAAGACTATGGTTGTTGTCCAGTGTAGTTTTGATCATTCTAGTGTGGTCTTTATTATGCTATAATTTTGTTTAATTAGAAACAAAAAACTCTTAATTAGAATGTTCCCTTCAAAGACAAGATTGCATCTACCTCAGAGGCCTTACAGTCTGTAAACCACAACAAAACATGCCAAATATTGTTTTAAGGACACATGCAGAACAAGAATCAAGACTAAATTTCTTGTGCACTACTTCAATGTCATCACAGGTCTTAAAGTACAACTATAAAATCAGATCAGCAAATATATTAATATACACAAACACACACATATTTCTGAATGACAATATTACCCTAAAGCTCTTTCACTGCAATCAGTTGTGGGTATACCATCAAGGAGATTGTCCAGAGCCTTGTATAGAGCAGTCAGTGTGGCCTCTGCCAGATCTACAGACAACAGCATCATATATATATAACAATCATATAAACAAACATGGCCTCTTAAAGTACAACAGGCAACTCAAAAGAGATGATTCATTGGAAGAGATAATATTTCAAGAACCTTGTTCTCTTACACTCACTTTCTTTTTCTTAGCATGCAACCTATTAGACTTATGTTATTGAATTAGGTTTATTACTAAACATTTATAAAAAGTTCAATAAAAAAAGTATAACTAGAGCACATTCCAGCGTTTGTAATGCTCTGCCTGGGGCTAAATGGCAGTTGCACTTTTGAGATGGACACTGTACAAAAGAGGACCGACTTCTCTGTCCTCAGGTTATCCCCTACGGCCCGAGCCTCTCTCCACAGATCAGATAGCCGCCTGTCAAGAGCATCAAACAAAGAACAAACTCCATAGCTTCAGCAATGATCAACCGGGATCTTCATTAACGTAAAAAAAATAATCAAAAAAATCAAGAACTGAACATTATGTCCTTGAAAAGAAACCATGACCTTTGAAGGCCTAGTGCTGGACCTCTTCACCCCGGACCCTCTCAGCCAAGCATCTCCAGTCATACCTACGCGACTAGAGATAGTTTAGTTTGGAAACAACCTTACCTGATGCCACCACCTCCAGTCATACCTACGCGACTAGAACTATTTCAGTTTGGAAACAACCTTACCTGATGCCACCACCTCCAGTCATACCTACGCGACTAGAACTATTTCAGTTTGGAAACAACCTTACCTGATGCCACCACCTCCAGTCATACGTACATAACTAAAACTAGTTCAGAAACAAGCTTACCTGATGCCAACACCTCCAGTCATACCTACATGACTAGAAGAAGTTCAGTTCAGAAACAAGCTTACCTGATGCTAACACCTCCAGTCATACCTACATGACTAGAAGAAGTTCAGTTCAGAAACAAACTTACCTGATGCCAACACCTCCAGTCATACCTACATGACTAGAAGAAGTTTAGTTCAGAAACAAACTTACCTGATGCCAACACCTCCAGTCATACCTACATGACTAGAAGTAGTTCAGTTCAGAAACAAACTTACCTGATGCCAACACCTCCAGTCATACCTACGTGACTAGAAGAAGTTCAGTTCAGAAACAAACTTACCTGATGCCAACACCTCCAGTCATACCTACGTGACTAGAAGTAGTTCAGTTCAGAAACAAACTTACCTGATGCCAACACCTCGTCATACCTACATGACTAGAACTAGTCCAGTTTGGAAAGAGCTTACCTGATGCCAACACCTCCAGTCATACCTACGTGACTAGATGAAGTTCAGTTCAGAAACAAACTTACCTGATGCCAACACCTCCAGTCATACCTACATGACTAGAAGAAGTTCAGTTCAGAAACAAACTTACCTGATGCCAACACCTCCAGTCATACCTACATGACTAGAACTAGTTCAGTTCAGAAACAAACTTACCTGATGCCAACACCTCCAGTCATACCTACATGACTAGAAACTAGTCCAGTTTAGTTCAGAAAGTCCACAAAGCTTACCTGATGCCAACACCTCCAGTCATACCTACGTGACTAGAAGTAGTTCAGTTCAGAAACAAACTTACCTGATGCCAACACCTCCAGTCATACCTACGTGACTAGAAGAAGTTCAGTTCAGAAACAAACTTACCTGATGCCAACACCTCGTCATACCTACGTGACTAGAAGTAGTTCAGTTCAGAAACAAACTTACCTGATGCCAACAGCTCCCTACCTACATGACTAGAAGAAGTTCAGTTCAGAAACAAACTTACTGATGACTAGAAGTCATACCTCATGACTAGAAGTAGTTCAGTTCAGAAACGAACTTACCTGATGCCAACACCTCCAGTCATACCTACATGACTAGAACTAGTTTAGTTTGGAAACAACCTTACCTGATGCCAACACCTCCAGTCATACCTACGTGACTAGAACTAGTCCAGAAACAAGCTTACCTGATGCCAACACCTCCAGTCATACCTACGTGACTAGAACTAGTTCAGAAACAAGCTTATCTGATGCCAACACCTCCAGTCATACCTACGTGACTAGAAGAAGTTCAGTTCAGAAACAAACTTACCTGATGCCAACACCTCGTCATACCTACGTGACTAGAAGTAGTTCAGTTCAGAAACAAACTTACCTGATGCCAACACCTCCAGTCATACCTACATGACTAGAAGTAGTTCAGTTCAGAAACAAACTTACCTGATGCCAACACCTCCAGTCATACCTACGTGACTAGAAGAAGTTCAGTTCAGAAACAAACTTACCTGATGCCAACACCTCCAGTCATACCTACATGACTAGAACTAGTTCAGTTCAGAAACAAACTTACCTGATGCCAACACCTCAGTCATACCTACATGACTAGAAGTTCAGTTTGGAAACAAGCTTACCTGATGCCAACACCTCCAGTTCATACCTACCTAGATGAAGTTCAGTTCAGAAAAACAAACTTACCTGATGCCAACACCTCCAGTCATAGTTGACTAGAAGAAGTTCAGTTCAGAAACAAACTTACCTGATGCCAACACCTCCAGTCATACCTACATGACTAGAACTAGTTCAGTTTCAGAAACAAACTTACCTGATGCCAACACCTCCAGTCATACCTACATGACTAGACTAGAAACAGCTTACCTAGTTCAGTCATACCTACATGACTAGAACTAGTTTCAGTTTGGAAACAGCTTACCTGACGCCAACACCTCCAGTCATACCTACGTGACTAGAAGTAGTTCAGTTCAGAAACAAACTTACCTGATGCCAACACCTCCAGTCATACCTACGTGACTAGAAAAAGTTCAGTTCAGAAACAAACTTACCTGATGCCAACACCTCGTCATACCTACGTGACTAGAAGTAGTTCAGTTCAGAAACAAACTTACCTGATGCCAACAGCTCCAGTCATACCTACATGACTAGAAGAAGTTCAGTTCAGAAACAAACTTACCTGATACCAACACCTCCAGTCATACCTACATGACTAGAAGTAGTTCAGTTCAGAAACGAACTTACCTGATGCCAACACCTCCAGTCATACCTACATGACTAGAACTAGTTTAGTTTGGAAACAACCTTACCTGATGCCAACACCTCCAGTCAACTTACCAGATGATGCCAACACCTCCAGTCATACCTACGTGACTAGAACTAGTTCAGAAACAAGCTTATCTGATGCCAACACCTCCAGTCATACCTACGTGACTAGAAGTAGTTCAGTTCAGAAACAAACTTACCAGATGCCAACACCTCCAGTCATACCTACGTGACTAGAAGAAGTTCAGTTCAGAAACAAACTTACCTGATGCCAACAGCTCCAGTCATACCTACATGACTAGAAGAAGTTTAGTTCAGAAACAAACTTACCTGATGCCAACACCTCCAGTCATACCTACATGACTAGAAGTAGTTCAGTTCAGAAACAAACTTACCTGATGCCAACACCTCCAGTCATACCTACGTGACTAGAAGTAGTTCAGTTCAGAAACAAACTTACCTGATGCCAACACCTCGTCATACCTACATGACTAGAACTAGTTCATTTTGGAAAGATCTTACCTGATGCCAACACCTCCAGTCATACCTACGTGACTAGATGAAGTTCAGTTCAGAAACAAACTTAGCTGATGCCAACACCTCCAGTCATACCTACATGACTAGAAGAAGTTCAGTTCAGAAACAAACTTACCTGATGCCAACACCTCCAGTCATACCTACATGACTAGAACTAGTTCAGTTCAGAAACAAACTTACCTGATGCCAACACCTCCAGTCATACCTACATGACTAGAACTAGTCCAGTTTGGAAACAGCTTACCTGATGTCAACACCTCCAGTCATACCTACATGACTAGAACTAGTCCAGTTTGGAAACAGCTTACCTGACGCCAACACCTCCAGTCATACCTACGTGACTAGAAGTAGTTCAGTTCAGAAACAAACTTACCTGATGCCAACACCTCCAGTAATACCTACGTGACTAGAAGAAGTTCAGTTCAGAAACAAGCTTACCTGATGCCAACACCTCCAGCATAAGCAGCACTCCTTTTATCTGGGGCACGGTGTTGATTCTCTCTGAATTCAGGCAGGTCTGCAGCTGGTCAAAGAAACGTCTGCAAGTGGAGTAACAGTAACATGTTGACATCAGCAAAGTTTTAACAGCTGTTATCAATGTTGAATTAAGAATCGACATCACAGCACTCAGGATACTCCTCATAAGCGCTCCGTCCCCATCTTTAGCAGCAAGCGATGAGTTCCAATACCGATGGCACCAGTAACTGTCTGATTGTTTATCTGTCTCGCCTTTCCCCTGAGTGTTGAGCGCCGACCAAATCGCCTTGTAACTCCTCGCAGCGCCATTCTCCCCAGGTGCGGTGCAGAACTGGCTAGTCTATCTGCCTGCTCATTTCTTAAAGCACTGGCATGACTTAAGGAAAATATCCAAAGGATGCTAACTACCCAGGACCTCTGAAGTGATGCTTGCCACTCTGCACGGAGCATGATTATCTCCACCTTTCTCAACATGCGCAGCGGGTCAACTACAATCACGTGTGTACAGCTGATTCTCAAGACCACCAGAGCAGGAATTGTCATGAATACAGCTGTATTCATTTAACTTAAGTAAATTCAACAACAATCAAACGCAACTGCCTGTTTTACCAGGGCAGCCGTAGTGTCAGTTATAAAGGATTCATTTATTTGACTGTTGCTGTAGTATGCACCTGAGATTCAGCAAAATATGCCAGACAATATATTGTGCAATTTATTGTTTGTGTCTTCTTTGTTCAAATTTACAATGGGAAAAAATTGCTTTGATATCTGACATGTGTTTAGAAAAAATACAATTACTCACTTGGAGGTTTCAAACCCTAATCCCCCTGTGACTGCACTTGTCTTCCCGTAGCTTCGCCCACTGTGGAAGTATTTCTGGAAGACCTCTTTTAGAACCGAGTACAGTTCAATGCTACGCATGTCCTCATGTTTTTGTGTGTGTACACAAGTCATGATTTTGCTCACAGCTATACATGCTGTGCGTGTTTTCTTAAATATTTTACATTAACATATCAAACCATGATCCTGCCATGTACTCAGCATGTTTTCTCATTTCTTTTTCTTGTTCACATTCACCGGCTGTAAACTTTGACGGAAAGTTCTAGTTGTTCAACCACTTCTGGACTTCAACCACACCTGAACTCTGTGTGCACAACTGTTTTGCAGATCTGGTTTATTTTTATACAGACTGATGGTTCCTCACCATTCAGGCATGTTGCACGACTCCAAAGGAGTCAATTAGTCCCCAATTAGTCACTCTTATGCATGCTTGTTGGGGGCAGTGGATTATATTTCTATAACTTCTATCTTCCCCTTATTCAAGTTGAGGCTTATTCTTTCATTTTCTATCACCACTGAGTATGTGTGTAACAGTAATTGAAAAAAAAAAAATAATACAGAGACACATGGAACAAACAGAAGGAAACAACACACTCCAGACACTTGTAATACACCAAACAAAAAATGTGAAGGTACTAGATGGGGATCATAAACATTTACACAAAAACAAATTTTCTGTGTGTGTTCCAGGGATCCTTCTGTGGGGAAGGGAAGAACGACGGACTGCCCTATTAAAAAGTATCTTATAAAAGGAAAAACTTACTTTTTCAAAACATCCCTCTTCTGGAAGATCCGCAAAAGTGACCTGGTGAAGGGCGGAAGATGGTCATGTTCTTTGGCAGCATCCTGTTTGAGGTGAGCCTTTGAGTCCATAAGCACAAATTCCAAAACAGAACCGACAAGTTTATCGACCACCGCCACATTTAGTTCAGCAACTGTCAGCTCCATCATAATTTCAACAGTTTCTGAAATTAAAGCCGGCAATTTTGGGGTATTTCCGTTAGACTCTTGCGAGTTTGGCTCCTCCAGCTCATCGTTTGCACATTCGTCATTTTCAGCATCACCGTTGTCTTCACTGACAATGGCCAGTTTTGTCAAGGATGTTAAGACACAGTCGATGCTGCGGCAGCCAAGATCATTAAGCAGTGCAAACTTCTCATTATCTGAGGGGAGTTTCTTGTATTTGAGTACCTGCATGTAAAACAATATGGAACTCTTAAACTGTATACTTTTACTATACTATACATGTGGAAACCTGGCATTCATTAACAGTGTAGAGAAAAAGGAGAAGTGAGATGTGCAGGCTTACCCAGGTGTTATCCACTAAGGAGGTGGCAAACGTACAAATGTTTTAATAAATACACACATATATTCATGCACACACACACACACAAAAAGGTATTTTTTTTAAAGTCTCTCTACATTTTGTTTTTAGAATATATTAGAAACACAGAGCTCATGATGTCATTAGAAAATGGCTAACGAGCACCAGGTTTTTAACATGGAAACCTGGAGAATCACTAAACACTCGGAATGAATGTTAAATGCTGTAATAAATTAGAAAGAATTCAAGAGCGGTGAGGAAATAATAGAAAGGCCAAGGCTGGTAAGTTAATAAAAAAAATTTAAAAAAAGTAAAGATCCCTTTTCACGCCTTAGGCGCATCAGGCATATGGGAAGAGCATCCATATATTTTTTACAGACCAATCGGCACTAGGTGGGTAATGTGGTCAGCATTATGCCAGCCGTCTTTACTTCCCCAGGACAGCAATCCTGGTACCCATTTTAGGCTGGGTCGACCTGCAACGCCCCATACCATGATAAAAATCCACACAGAGCCACTGGTAACAAGTTAAAAGACTTCCTTCTAAGTCAGAGGGCATCTGCCTGAAAGGCAAGGAACCAGCAGTATGCATACAAATGAATCAGATATGTAAAACGGATACACGTGCAACACTCAGGTTCTGGAACAGGACTGAAGTCCAGAAGTAGACGAACAACCATAACTTTCCACCGGAGTTTATAGCTGGTAAACGCGAAGAAGAAGTTATAAGACAAAAAATAGGACACTATAATGGACACGTCCTGGGAAAAAACCAGCAGTGAATCACCAAACGGGCACTAAATTAAAGGAATTGAGCCAGCGAGGACAACCACAAGAAACCCTAAAATAAAAGTTGATGGGAGAGGCCAAAGCTGCTGGACTGGATTATATTTATGACATTTAAGAGACCTCACAGGATAGAACGGAAGAGATATGAGCCCATTGTGATGTATAATTTCACAAGAAGACAATGATGATGATAGCAAAAACACATACATTACTTTCAGTGATCCCTGCATAGGCACCCAGTTTGGGAGGTGGGTGGGCGGGAGACAAAGAAAAGACTTAATGTCTCCCTAGCAAAAGTTACGTAACTACACAGGACATTGTAGAACCAATCTCATCATGTTTTTGGCTGTTGTGGTCGTTCTAGGCAAAGTTTTACCTTCAGTAGTTTGCCATTGCCCTCTGAACGGTGAGCTCTCTGTACCACTGTGGAAACCAAAGCAAGACAAACCCTCTGCAGCTGTGATCGAACCTGAAACACCGGCGTTAGCCCAGGCCACAGACACCCTAACAAGCATGTTAAATAAGCGAACTAATTAGGGGTGTTTTTGTTGAAGTCAGAGTGCATCTGCCTTGCAGGCCAGGAACCAACAGAATACATACAAATATGCCAGATTTTGTAAAACAGATGTGCATGCAAAACTCAAGTTCCAGAACAGGATCAAAGTCCAGAAGTTGACGAACAGTCAGAACTTTCTGCCAGAGTTTACAGCTGATGAATGCAAAGACAAAGAAAGATTGAAACTTGTGCAAATTTTTCAGGAAAAAAAAAAAAAAAAAAAACAAGCCAGTACCTGAGTTAGCTGGTACACTCCCTGCAAGACCTGGCACTTCAGAGTGAAGCAGACGCCTGGCTCCCTCAACAGTGCCTGGAACAAATCCACCGTTGCTTCTAGAAACGAAGAGTCAGCCAAGCCAATCATCATCAAGTTTCTGCAGACTTTTGTAACATTCGTCAGCAGGGACGTAGACAAATCCCTGTAATCTGCGGCCTCGTCACTAACATGCGGTATCACAACCCTACAGCACCAGGTTATACTTCTGTTTACCAGCTGCACCACTTCATTGACAGTTTCCTCCCCATTACCTCCTACTTCTTCATTTCGAGAGCACAAAAAAGCAGTCAGTCGCAGGAAAATGGTATGAACTTCAAAAAACAAATTCACATCCTTTTTAGACATCTGCTTATCTTTGGAAAAGTAAGCATTCAGCTCAGCCATTGACGGTATCAGACAGTCGATCAAATCCTTGAGATCTTGCCTGTTTTTGGTCAGTAAAATATGTCTGCATTCAGCTGGGGTTATCATATTCGTTATCAAGGCACAAGCCAATTCTGGGCTGATTTTGTTTCTTCCTCAGTAACAAAAGCTACTGCCTTCTTTGCAGGGTTTGATCTCTTTCCACCAGCTTGACTCACACCTGGAGTGGAATCTTCTCCATTCTTAAAGATGCTGCCAAGGGAATCTTTAACCACTTGAATTATCAACTCTGCTTTCCCCCATAGCACCAGAGATTTGACCATTAATTTGAGGTCAATGCTCCCATCAAAGCAGGAACCAGATTTGAGTCTTTTAAATAAATTCTGGGCGATGTGGGGGAGGGCTCGTGAAGGCAGGTGACCAGCTAGAGCTACCAGGGCTGCATCAAGATGAGGGTCCTTGAAGAAAGAAGAAAAATTTTCATTACTTACTGTCCTTCTTTAAAAAAAAAAAAACACAACAAGCATTAACTCGTAACAAAGCAGCTCATCAAAATTTACTGACTATCGTCTACCTCAAGGCTATTCAACTGGTGGCCTGCAGACCAAATCTGGCCTGAGGGTGTCTAGCAAGTGGCAGACAGATTTCGCCAGTTGTACTAATGATCTTTCTATGATTGGGCTCTGGCCTCTGAGAACTTAGTTGAATAGCCCTGTGATTAACTCTTTGAGTCCCAAGGAACACATCATACATTCAAAGATTCCTACCTAGAAGCCCAATGAACGCAAGATGTGCCTTTTTACGTCTTTCTTGACTACTCCTTTGGGCCTGTGAATATGTCACGATAAATGTTGGCTGTCACAATTCATCATAACAAATAGTAACACAAATCTTGTATTTTTCCTGCCCTTCCATAATATTTGTTGCATTGTCCTCATAAAGGACATTTCTGCAGTCATTAGATGCTTCTTATCTTGCCTGCTGACTGTCCATATTTTACATGCACAAAGAGGAGGAGCACACTGGGGAGGACACAGGCCTTATGCAGCACACAACAGCAGAGATTCAATATGGCAATTTAAATATAAAATTACTGGTATATATGTGAGAACAAACAAGTTGAGGTTAGAACAAAATAAGTTACATGACTGAGTTATAAATATATGACCAAAAAACCGGGAGGGGAACGAGAGAGAACGAACAAACAAACTTTATTTTCAAAGGGTCACAAATTGGGCACGCAGGCCCGTCTTACATTTGGCCCTTCCAGTCAACCATCTTTCGCACAGCAGTTGTATTTTTACTAATAAAGCATGTTATGATCATATGATGATATGCAAATTATAAATATTATAAAAGAACACAAAAGCATGAGTTGTAAAGGGGCATGCAAAAACTTGCGCGTACATACACACACACCCATATACATACATACATACATAGATACAAACATACATACATAAACATAAATATAAACATAGTCATAAATACAGGCATGCATACAGTCATGCATGGAGACACACGGAGAGAGAGAGAGAGAGAGAGAGAGAGAGAGAAAGAGAGAGAGAGAGAGAGAGAGAACAAACTTTATTTTTAAAGGGTTACAAATTGGGCACGCAGGCCCGTCTTACATATGCCCTTCCAAACACCCGTCTTTCACACTGCAGCTGTATTTTATCAAAAAGCATGTAATATTTATATAATATGCATAGTATGAATATCAAAAAAGAAAAGGATAAAAAACACACACAAGAATTGGTGGTAAAATGCATGCACACGCACACACCCATACACTCACACACCCACATAAACACACCCCATTCACCCACATACAAAGCAACATACCCACACAGACACGCACTCACTAAACACACCCACGTACCTTCACATACACACACTCCATTCACCCACATACAAAGCTACATATCCACACAGACACGCACATTCCACACCACATACAAACATACAGATATAAAAACAGAGACACACCCATAGAAACAAATGCAGACACATACACACAGACATACACGCACATATCCAATCATACACGCGGATACACACACACAGACATACACATGCGACACACACACACAAACCAGCATACACACACGCAGATTCAAACACACACAGATACACTTGGAGACACACAAACACACACAATCGCAGAGAGAGAGAGAGAGAGAGAGAGAGAGAGAGAGAGAGAGAGAGAGAGAGAGACAGAGAGACAGACAGAGGGAGACAAGAGGCAGCAGAAATGGAAACAAACCTTAGACACTGCCATAACTTCTCTGACCATGACACTGAGCTTCTTGGCCAGGCCCTCCTTGACTTCTTTGTTTGTGTTGGCATCCAGCTCAGTCAGCACCACCGTGTGCATCAGATAAACTGCCTCGACCAAGCCACAGAACACGGCCATGTCTTCTAGCTCCCCATCAGCTTCTGGCTTGTCTTCCTCATCACTCTCCTGCCCAACAGCCGTTGGTCTTTGCTTCTTATTTGTTTTTCTGAGTTTCCTTTTAGATTTGGATGACTTTGCTTTGTCTTTTTCTTTCTCCCCCACATTATCATCCTTACTGGTGTGGGCATCATCATCATCCTCATGTGGAGATTGGGCACTTTTGCCACTGAGCTTGTGGGCACTCTCGATAAGTGCTTTGCAGAGTAAGGTGATGTACCTGATGGTGTCCTCTAGGCTCAGACAACGAGGGAGGTTCAGGTAAAACTGCCTTGCTGCTGCCATGTTCAGCTTCACAAGAGTGACACACCTGCTGACTTGTTCTCCGGCTGCTTCTTGAAGAGGCACAAAGGAAGGGTGTATCAACTTCATGATCCTCCTAACTATGGGAGCAGAATCCACCTGCAGGCGGGACAAGATGTGCTCTAGCGGGACCAGATTCCAAAACTTGATAGCCCGCAGGCCCTTGACTTTCAGCAGCAGATCAAACATAGCAACCCGGACCCTTTCCGAGGTGTCGTGAACAAAGTTCCGCAGTAGAGGTAGAACATTTTGCAGCAAGGGAATGCACAAGTGGTTGTCACACAACTGCTGCATAGCCTGCAATAAAAGATATCACCCAGTAAAGAATCTTTCCTAATACACTCAACACAAACCATTTATTTTATAATGCTGAGTTCTAAAAAGTCCTTCTACAGTTCAAAACTTTCATCAGGAGCATTTACATATTTGCTAGTAGAAAGGTGCAAGGACAACATTCATAACTGACCATTTGCACTGACAGTGAGCTTCAATTCTATGGGACTGTCAGTGTTGGTACATCTGATAGCTACCTTATGCTTATGTTACTTTACATGTGCAAGCAGTAAGGTTTTGCTGGGACTGACAAGTTTTTCACCTGTTTTCAAATAGGACATTTTGTGTGATTTCTACTGGCACAGGAACAAAGCAGTTATGGGGTGAGCCGTCTGCAGGAATCTCAAATAACTCACTGACCAGTAAAAACGTGGCTTAGAATTGCACACCTCAGAAGTTTGAGAATGTTCTTACCCTTTGTGGTACTAACATGCACAAAGAATAAACATGCAGCCCTGTTTGACAATTCCAGCTAAACGCACATAACCACAGATGATGCGTAAACAGTTCAAGCAAAATACAGTTCAGCTTGAATTATTATTGCAATCTGGACAAACAGGTGCTCCGTGTTTTTCTTCAAAATAAATCTATCATGAACGCACAATAAACCGAAATCTAATGTTCTTCTATTACAGCACAAAGTAGTCTGATATTAACAGTAAACATGCAGCACAACGAAATTCAATTTGGTAAAACAGACCACACAAAGATTCATATGCTAAAAGAAAATGTGTTTGCCAGAATTGTATAAAAAAATTATCTTCAAAACTTGATAGAAAAGTAAATAACATCACTATTACAACTTAATAGAAAGGTATAACATTATCTGCGGTATCCGTGGCTTAGGCGTTGCGTGTCCGACATACCGCGATCGAAACCCACTGCTGGCTGCGTAGATTTTTATTATGGTATGAAGCGTCTCAGCCTGGGTACCAGGATTTATGTTCTGGGGAAGTAAAGATGGCGGGCGTAATGCTGACCACATTACCCACCTATTGGTCTGTAAAAACATGGGATGTTCTTCCCATATGCCTGATGGGCCTAAGGCGTGAAAAGGGATCTTTACTTTTTTTTTTTAGAAAGGTTCAACATCACCTTGAGAATTTATAGAAAGGTATATAATATTACCTTCAAAACTTCATGGAATTGCATACCATTACCTTCACAACTTGATGGAAAAGTAAATTACCTTCAAAACAGCCTCTCGGACTGCAGGTGAAGAGACATCATAAGCAAGATCTTCTATCAGTTTTGTTATAAAGCACTTTATCACCTGCAACAAAAACATAATCAAGTCATGAAAGCTGGTATCGTCCTGTTTATGTGAGACAACAAGACACTGATCATATCAGTGAAGGATTCCTGCTGTCGGATACAAAGGTTACATAGGAGAGTTTGGGAGTGGCTTCATCTTGAGTGGTCATTTGCTATGTTTCTAACCCTGCCCGATCTTCAGAATTTATCTTGAAGAGTTAATTATGTAGGCCAGGTTGCCCTTTTTTTCTCTTCCCTTATTATGAAACTATTTTATAAATAGCACACATATTCCCTAGATTTACTACAAATACTATTTTACTGTAGTTTGAAATATGCACATTTCAGTGCTTGTATTGAATATTCTGATGCTGTTAATTACGTGTACTATTACTTGACGTATGAATGAAATGATGTCTGAAAGGAGGGAGACTAGAAGGGCAGAATGTTAGATAGGCCTGCGTGCCCAATTCTTACCCTTTGAAAATAAAGATTGTTGTTCCTCAGCCAAATATTGGAGGCAGAGATGTGAGGATCAGTTGTGTGCTCTTTATAAGGCACTGCATAAGCTTATCTTAACTTCTCAAAGGTTGTTCTTAATGCTGTCACTCCATGTTTTGCAGTGGCTTCCCCTTTCTCTGTGCTTATATTTTGTAAACTATCTCTCAACAGTAGTTGATACACGGACATGACTGTCGAATGGCCAAACTTTTTCACTATTTTTTAAAGAACTGTATAGCTGGTTTCAGTCAACTTTCATACACAACTAATAATCATGGGAAAAACTATGAGCTAGGTACAGAGAATGGCGCAGAAAAGATCCTCTACCACCCTCTTGGATCATCATCCCAGTCCCATAATGCCACATTGCTGGGTCCCCAGCTTTCATCTGGCAGCAATGGATTTGAAGTTTGCATATTTGAGGCCTGTCTGCTCAGCCACTTCTGTATCCTGTTCTTGGTCGGCCTCTTCTCCACTACACAGCTCCGTAGTATCGTGTTGGAGAGGCTGATAGATCTTGCTACTACATGACAGTATCACTGCATTTTCAGTTTTTTCACTGTTGTTAAGAGGTTCAGTTTTCTAATGTGTCAAATGATGATATTGCAAACTTCATCATAAAGATATCCTCTTGGATATAAGAAGAAGTTATAAAAAACAAATTACATGAAAGGAACACTTACATCAGCTGGGATGAGTTCCCAGTAAATGTTGAGAACATTGCCCACACCCCGTACAGCAAACAGTCTTACTTCCGGCACAGGATCGGACAACAGGTTCTGTTTGTGGAACACAGAATCAAATTATAGATAGCAACACTTTTGCATAAGGAATTACATTTGTTTTTAACACGGACAAACCTTATTTCATCTAGTTTAAAATATGCTGTTGTTATCTACCACTTTGCAAAGAAATGTAGTAATCAACGGGTGATGTGATCAATATCACGCTGGCCACCTTGACTTCCGAGAACATTACCTGGTACCATCTTTTTAAGTAAGTGCATATCGATCCATCGGCCTGTCCCCTCTGGGAAGCTACCTGAAGTTTTGCCACCTTGAGACCAACAGCACAGATCCCAGATATCCCCTTCAATCTAAGGTACTTGTAATGGTTACACTAGGCTGGTGTAATCTGCAGTCCTGTGTGGGTAAAGACGACTGAAGTGTACACTGGAGCCCTAGTCAATTAAAATTAATTATGCCCTAATAGAAATTCATATAATTTAAAGTACTAGTGTTAACTTAAATCATGTCTGTGTGTGGTTTTCCTTTTGGGGAAAACAAGAACAGACCCACTGCTCACTAACAAGCATGTCCTAAAAGGTGACTAATTGGGTCTTCCCAGACAAATGTTCTATTTAGCTATAGTGAGGTATGGGGATCACAGCCCATGGTGATACCAATGAAGGTTAGAGATGAAGTCCGTCCTCTCTATTGTAGACACTATGCTGTGACCTATGTAGCTTGATCTATCTCTCAGCCTGCTTTGTTTACTCCAAATGAAAAGTAACACCTAAATGTTTGGAACAAAGCATGCTGTAGGATCATAAGAGAAGGGCTGTTTGTCCACCTGTCGGAGCTTTCCTCCTAGACCAGCTGCTGTCTAACATTAAGAGTGTGATTTGCCCTGCCATAAGATTAGATTTTCAGGTCACATTTCCCAGGACAAGGCTCAAAATTCCCTGTGCGCTCCTTCATCTGAAGCTGTTGGTAAACATGGAATGTCAGGTTTGGTACACACCACAACATGATAGCATTACAGAAAAAGCAAACAAGGTAGACTAAATTATATAAAACAAAGAACATATTAACTTACATGCATGATGTCGAACTGTTTTTGTAAAGCAGCGTCCGCCTGCTGGCGGTTGAGATCAGCATCTTGCAGGGGAAAAGTGTCAAACATCAACAAGGCGGCATTAATTCTCACATCACTGTTTGCAGCCTGCGAATGTTCAAGTGATGGGTGATTGCTAGCAGACAAGCATTCAGTGAATGGACATTGCTGGACATAATGTGAGAATGTGAATGCTTCATGCGATGAATGAATGCACCATGTAATGCATGGTTCCCAAACAACAGGCCGAGATCTCAAATAAGGTCATGCGGTAGACCTATGACACATTTTTTTAAAGGGGGTAAACAGGTTATGTCATCGGGTTCTGCACGCAGATTATACAATCAACGACAAATCTGTAAGCTTGTTAATGAGTTACAAATTCAATCATCACATTAAATTTGCCATAAGCTACCACTATTTTCAACAAAACTATACTACTTTTTGATTCTTATATTTCAGACTTGTTTTCTTTTACTTTACTGAAAGTCCTTTTCCCCCACAGTGTATGGTGTCGCAGGTCACTTAGCCTTTTTAAAATGGGGTTGCAGGTCACTTAGCCTCTCTAAAATGGCGTCGCAGGTCACTTAGCCTCTTTAAAATGGCATCGCAGGTCACTTAGCTTTTTTAAAATGGGGTCGCAGGTCACTCAGCCTCTTTAAAATGGCATCGCAGGTCACTTAGCTTTTTTAAAATGGGGTCGCAGGTCACTCAGCCTCTTTAAAATAGGGTCGCAATCGAAACAGGTTGCGACCCGCTGATGTAATGAGTGAATGTACTAGATAACAAGTGGATACAAATGTTTAGTTTATATCCTTGATGGAGGAGGAATCTTCTGTATGAAAAGTGTATATGTAATGCTCTAAATAATGGCTGAATGTTTCTATAACGTAACAATGCTTGATGGTTTCTGCTTCATATGATAATCTAATGTTAAATTCAAGTTAAATTAAACATAACAACTGACCATCAATGACCTCCAAAGAATAGGCTCATACAGCCGGGTCAGCATTGCTTCAACACCTTTCTGTGTCTTCTTCTTGTGAATCAAACTCAGGATCTGGCAACAGCAAGTATTCATGACAAAATTAGATAACAAACAACAAAAGTGAAACAAGGGGTGATGGTGACTGCACAACATGACACCACCCAAATAGTAAAAGTTGGAGTCTTCTTATTTTAGTTCATCTAAGTGATAAATGTGTTGTGCTTGTTTACATCATAGCTGCGGTATCTTTTAGTTGACATATCCAGCTTCTGTTAACTGGATTACTTCCCAGGTAGTTTCGTGGGACAGAGACATGTGGTGGCCTTACTAGATGTGCCAAAGGTGTGAAAAAGGATCTTTACTTTGTCCCCTTATATTCAGGTGTTGCCCCTGGAGACCCCATCCAGGGTATCCACACGTAGACAGGTTGGCATTCAAGTGAAGGCAGAGGCAGATTAGTGGGCATTCCTCGCCATCCAAGGAGGCTTCCATAAATGCAGAACCAACACATGATGCTCTGGTCCTGGGCTCACCCTAGGAATCATCTTGTCCTGCTCATGACTGCTGAACCTCACACCCACATGTTGAGCTTTCCGATCGTCGCCCCCTGCGCCCTCCGGAGATCAGCAGGGAGCAGCCCGCAAGTACAGGACTTTGATGGCCACACAAATAAGTAAATTTGTCTTTGGCACATTATACACTTTTAACAATGTGTAATCTGGAAATTTAGCAAGACTGTATGGTAAAAGCATGCGTCCGGCATGGCTTCCTGTTTTAGGTCCCACACCCTGGCCAGTGAGGCCAATGTTAACAGGCATGTGTACCTTTCTGCCAAATAGTATAACTTTTTTTCGGTCAGGCATTTGGAACACTGTTATTGTGATGGACATTTATGCCAATTGCAAATGATCTGTGATCTATACCCCCATGCCATGGGTAGAGCCTAATCAGGCAAACAATAAAGGTGTGTAATAAACTTTGCTCTTCTCCTTTTGTCAATTCCTGCTTTCTGCTGCTAGGCATCCCAGTTTAACAGATGAAAGGTGGCCGAGCTAGGTTTGTGAAGGCTTAGGCTATCAGTGACTTCTTAATCCATCTTCTTCTAGGTCTTCTCGTGCCTCCTGTTGTTTCTATTTTCATGTTGTCTGCTCTTGCTGTTGGCATTGTTAGATTTGTTCTCCCAATGGTCAAATCATTTCAGTCTGCTTCTCAATGAATTTAGCAAAGGGGGTTGAACAAGTTTGAATCTCTTCAGTTCTCACATCTTTTCTGGTTTTTTTCACAGCATTTCAGAAACATCTAATTTCACAGATAGTTTATCAAACCTCATTGTGCAAGGTTTTTATCTCATGTGGTTTGGCCTCTCTCAGCTGAGGGACTGCTTGCCTGCACACAGCATGAAACTCTATAGCTAAAGAAAACACCCCCCACCTTCCCAAGGTATCTTTCTAAAACACCACAAATGAAATGAAGGAGTCTGAAATCAAACACCAGTCCTTCAGAGTACAAGACAAAACAGCTTAACCACATCATCATGGGAGACAGTAAAAATCAAATAATATGCCACAGAAAAGTTCTTAGAATATCATAGACCTAGAAGAAGAAAACCACAGAGATGCTGCAAGATCAGAGCATCAAAGAGAATTGGCTTCAAACTCTTTAAAAAAAAAAAAAACCCATTCTGCCCTGAAAGCTGAGCTATTTTGGCCATGTTATGTGCTCTGGAAGGAGCAGTGATGGATGGTACAGTTTCCAGAAAAAGAGGCAGTTGCAGACCTCCTTAAACGTGGATACAAGACACTGAAGATAGATTGGCTATGAAAGCATATAAGGTTGGAGAATTGGCTAGACAGAGACTTTCAGGCGTGCCACGTTCTATAAAGGACATACTGATTGATGTTGATTTATTTATCCAAGAGCAGCAACCCAAAGAGGTTTTCAACACACTCACCCTAAAGAGCACTTTTGCAATAGAAGACTGACCACCTCTCTGTGCATGCACAGCTCTGTGCATCAGATCCTGGATACACTGGTGCTCGATCACCTGAACAAACAAACAATTTGTCAAATCACATAACACTTGTCTGGTTGCAGTTTCATTATAAACATCATTCACAATTTATAATGAAGAACCAATGTTTCAGCACTAAGTACAACTCATTATAAGTGCTTGGTCTCTCTCAGTAGATGCTGAAGGAACAGGATGCTGAAGGCCCCTATTAGGAGCAAGTTGGCTACATCTTTTGACTACAACCAGTCCAACTGTTTCCATACTTGGTCCCTCACTCAAACAGTTGCAATTTATGTGATTCATCAAGAGATGTCCCTGTGTGGGACACATTTTGTGGGGGAAAAAAAGAATAGACCCATGATCCTCTAATAAACATGTTGTAAAAGGCAACTAGACCTGTTCACATTTCCAGGCTTAGGACTAGAGTAACTTTCCTTGTCATTCATGCCTTCTTAGGTCGCTGGACCCCTTCTATGTTGTGGGGGTGTTACATGCGTAATCCACATAAGTGTGGACAATTTACTTAAAGCACTACCAAATTGTTTTCCTTAAAAAACTATAGAGAAAAATGAATGGACTAACGGCTTCACTAAATGTAACGCAATTTTAGTATGCCGACGAGCGTCCCAGGTTACTGTCCCAAGGGCTGCAATCGTGGTAGCCAGGCATAGACGTCAGTGGATCACATAATGTGAGATCACTGCAGTCAGGTGGTTAAGAGTTAGTAATGTTTCCTCCTCTTTCTTTTTTTTCTGGACTCCTGGAATGCCTCAAGGCATCAGGCAGAAAGAGATCTCTGGAAGGGGCCCTTTTGTTCGCTCCCATAAAGTTTTTTTAGTATCTTGGATATTTCTGCAGTTTATCTTTTGTGGGGTCGATCTCTGGGTCTGTTACTGCTGTATCTGTATAACATTGCTCTCTGTGGTGCTCTGTCTGATTCCAATCTTGTTACATGGCCAAATTATTTGATTTGTTGATTTAACTAAAAAGTTCAGTGTCCACTCTTCTCCTGATATCATCGTTCCTAAGTTGATCTTCACTCATTACACCCAGCATAGCACATAAACATTTCATTTCTGTTGTGACTTTTTTCCTTCTGTCTTCTGAAAACAGTGTCCATGTTTATACTGATAGCACAGCATTGGTAAGAATATTGCGAACAGTGTTTTTTAATGTTCTTATTCACGTGCTTGCATTGATAAGGTTTTCTATTAAAAAAAAAAAAAAAAAAAAAAAAAAAAAAAAACGGCAACCATTTTGATGGGATAAGCCAGAAGTTGCCTAAACACATAGAAAGGAATACAGCGTAAGGGATTAAGTCCGTACCATCACATCAACAAGTGATTCCACCAGTCACACTAACCTAAAATATGTGTTAACAAAAATAGACATAAAATACTGAGACTTAAATAAAGAACAAAATAAGAACATCAAGAAAACACAATACCTCTCGCATATCTGGATTCTTTGCTTCCTGCCAAGCTTTTAAGTAAACTTCCGAAAACTTTGCGTGCCATGACCTAGGGGATCAAAAAAGTTTGCTATAGTAAAACTGTTCTGTAAACAAATTAAAAGATTAGCCAATATACATTTTTTACATTCTGAGGTCTCACTGACACCAGGTTGTAGCCCAGTGTCGCGGTTTCTGTATTTGTTTTACATTTCTCAAGTGGCTTGGGTGATGGATTTGTTTAGCTTTTTTAACATGTTTTAGCAACACCATTTATCCATCTTTTTTTTTTTTATTCCCCTCGCCTTCCTCCCAGATGCTCTGCTGTAAAAAAAAAAAAAAAAAAAATGGCAGTTGCAGTTTGGTTTGAGCTCACTCTCACTAGATGGCAGAACCATTTCATTCTTTATCTAATTCCAGACATAGTTTCTCTCTAATGCTAGTATTTGTAACTCTGTCCCTCCTTATGTTGTTAGTGACCTTAAAGAGGCAGTGAGTTATTTTCTATTCTAGTGCCCTATTGACAACATACATTTAAAATTCATATATATATACAACTATTTTTGAGAAAAAATCTATCAATCTTCTGGAGGAAGGAAAGGCGGCTGGTCCAGATAGTATTCCAGCAGAAGTTATTATAGCCAATATAAACACATCAATGGTAAAGTCTGGGAGACTGAACAAATACCAGCAGACTTGAGAGGATATTCTGTGAAAGTGCCCAAAGAAGGTAATTTACAAGTGTGAAAACTATAGAGGAATTATGTTGGTGTCAGTCCCTGGAAAAATATTCAATAGTATAATTTTGGAATAACTAAAAGATGATATTGATAAAAGCTAAGAGAACAACAGGCCAAACAGATTATGTACTGACCAGACAGCCACATTATGTATAATAATCAAGCAAAGCAAGAATCGAATTTACCACTTTACATTTGATTCCTAGGCTATGAAAAAGCTTTTGACATCACTGGTAGGGAATCTCTCTGAAAATTAATAGGGAACTATGGAATCCCACATAACATTATTAACTAAGTAAAAGCAACCTGAGTCACCAAGAAAGTTTCACAGAAGTGTCAAAGCAATGAGACTAAAAGAAGATAAGTTTAACCCCTCCACTGTTAGAGTAAGAAACCACTCAACAGCAGTCAAGATATTGAAGACAGATGAAAGGAATTTTTGTGTGAACTGTTAAACACCGGATGAAATACCTAACCAAAAAATAAATTTGAAAAAGAAAATGAACCAAAGATACTTGAATCTGAAGTTGAAAATGCCCTTAAACAAAGTAAAAAGAACAAGGCAGCGGGAATAGATGGTATTACAACAGAAATGCTCCTTGCTTGTAAGACAACAGCAACCACTTGGTTGACCAGAATCTTTAACATAGACAAGTGACTGTAAGAGAGCAATCATTGCTTCCATTTGGAAGAATAAAGGGGACAAATGAGACTGAAAGAGGCATCTCCATCCTGAGCCATACTGGAAAGATGTTTGCAAACATTTTGGAAACTTAGAGCTCGACCAATACTAGAGCACCAGTTAAGTAAGAAAAAGTTTGGTTTCAGGAAGGGAATGAGCTGCACAGATGCAATATTTTCTTTAAGGCAGATGTGCAAGCAGTCTATTGAATATGATAAAAGTCAACAACTTATATTTTTAGATCAAGAGAAGCAGAACCAAATATCTCTCTCGACACTGGAAGTGGTAAAAGAGGAAGTGAAGAATAAGATAAACTGCTGCGTTAATTTCAGCGTCTGCTGACAGAATATAGACACTTGCAAAGTACATACACTGGAGTCGCTGGCAGATGGTTCTTAACAGTTTGATGAAGCATCTTGGTAAGTTCTGGGTTCAAGGTAAACAAGTAGGCCAGGAACTTCACACCCTGTTTGAAAACAAACAGTATATATACATATAAAATATGGATGCATTTATATAATGAGGATAGACACACAAAATCGACAACATGCATTAGCAAACTCAAAAGAACAAAAATATAATGAACTCGCCACTGTGCAGCAACACTGAGATATATATATTATATATTTTTAAAATCCATTATAAACGTCATTAAATTTTTATAAGTTCAAATCTGCATCGAGCTGGACTTTTGTCCCAAATGACCATAGCTCCCAGGTTGACCCAGCCTGAAATGAGTACCAGGTAAAGTCCTGTTGACCATATTACTGACCAAGTGCCGAATGGTCTATCAAATATAGGGCTAGCACTAGGTATCTAATACACCTTAAGGCGCGGAACAGGCTTCTTTTTAAACTTCAATTATATTGCACAAATATGTTCGTAAATTGTAGGGCCCTTTTCATGCCATTGGTGAATCGGCCATATGATTTTAAACCCGTATTATTATAGATCAATGGGCAATTGACCAGGCCCTCAACTTTTTAAAAATACTGTATTACTGAATGCGAGCAGAGGTTCTACATGCGTAACCTATGGGAGATGAGCAGTTAATAGAGACCATCATGATGTAGCAGGTCCTTTGCAGAATGCCGCTCTGACCACGGCCGGCCTGAGAGAAACTCTCTTGCAAGCTCTGGCACCTCCTGCACTGTCCTACCCAAGGTGACACTTCTATCTCGTGCCGGTCGGTCACTGCTCTTTTCCGCCCGTACCATGCCTTGTATTTCTTTCATTCTCTAGACATACATTTCATTCACTATTAATAACTGAAACAGAAGAGAATTTACAGTACCATATAAACCAAGTCAATACTAAGTGTGAGAAATATGAAGATAATCATTGATAAGACAGAGGTAATGGTAATAGGTAGACAAGAAGAAACCTTATCAATTAAAGTAAATAAAACAGAAATCTTCTTCTTCAGCGATCTCTGGTCATGCGCATAATCCACTGTGGGTCATAAACTGGGATGTCTTTTCAAGGTCTCTTAGGTTTCCCCAAAGCTTAGTTGTCAGTTCTACTGGGTGTTGCCATATGTCCCTCCGCAGCTCCGCCAGGAGAGGACAGTCTTGCAGGACATGTTCTGGAGTCTGTTCAGCACGAAGGCACTGGCAGAGAGCTGTTTGGCTCATACCTAATTTATGTGAGTGTTTATTGAGTCTGCAGTGTCCAGTGCGTAAGCGAAAAACTGTGACTTGGTCTGTTCTGTTCAAGTGTTTCAGAAAATCTTTTCCGTAGTTATAACCAGTGTTGGTTTTCCAATCTGTTTCTGATTTTCTCTTAATGAGAGTTTTGACTTCTAGAAAAGATAGTGGCTGGTAGGTCTGTGGTTTGTTACTGCCTTCCTTGGCTAAAGCATCTGCGCTTTCATTGCCTTTGATGCCACAGTGAGACGGAATACACTGCAAGTGAATTTCTGCCTTATTTGACAACATAGCAAGTTCCTGTGTTAGACCTTGTAGTGTGCTGTCGGTAGGTTTGGACTCCAGGGCCTGTATAGCTGACAGTGAGTGAGTCAGAAAAACTATCCTGCCTGCGGTAATTTGCAGATTGTTCATGTACTGCGCTGCCATCAAAAGGGCTGAGAGCTCTGCCTTGTAGTTAGAGCAAGTTCGTCCGGTGGGGGCTGCTAGGGACACAGTAGTGGCATCTGGGTGTTTTATGTAAACACCTGCCCCACCATTCGTAGTTGCCTCTTTTGCTGATCCATCCGTGTAGATTCTCGTCCAGCTGTCCTGTGGGAACATGTTGTTGAGGTGTTCCATTGTGAGTGCTTTCTTCACTAAAGCGGGCTCAGCATCTTTGTTTCCCAGGTTCGGGATGGATGTTGACACATTGAGTGTCAATAATTCGGAGTCCCAGAGATTGAAAGATAACTCTTCAGGTGTACATTGTTGGTTAAGTAGTGAAGAGAATGACTTTCCAAAAACAGAAATAAAACAAACAAGCAAATTAAAATTTCTAGGGTTATTTTTTACCTCAGATGGAAGAATGGATAGAGAAATCAACATACGATGCGCGAAAGCAAATCAGGTTATGGGACAATTAACACCATTTTTGCCAGATAGAAAGATAATGGCCAACCAAAGCAAATCTCATAAAAACGGTTTTTGGCCGACACTGTGCTACCAATGCCAAACATGGACCCTTACTACAACCAATGAGCGGAAGATTGTAACAACAGAGACGAGATGTCTTAGGAGAGCTGCCGGTGTGACAAGGACAGATAAAATCAGGAATGAAGAAATCAGAAGAAGACTAGGGCTGAAAACAGTCATATAATTCATTAAAGAACAAAAAATAAGATAGTTGGGCCACCTGAAGAGAATGCCCTGGTACCAACTGATGCAGAGAGCCAAGCTGAAGAAATATAATCCTCACAGCAAGGGGAAGACCATGCAAGATCATCAGGAGCAACCTAACAAATAAATACCAACTTGTACAATGCACTGGAAAAACCGCACAAACAATCCTTAGATCTGCCCCCGAACACCTCGCTGAGGTCAATGGTGGAAGTGAGAAAGATTATTCTCATGATAAAGGCTAATCATTGCAAGGTCCTTTGTTTGTCTATTGTTATGTATGTTATCACAATTGACGCCTTTGCACACTGGGCATCCCTATGCGTACTCAGTCCTTCAATGCAGCAGTCACCCCAAGACTGTTCCCAGGAGATGTTGGTTATAGTGTCTCCTACCTTTACCTCGGAGACGACATAGATGTGCTTCATTAAGCTCAACTTCTCTGTCACGCAGTCTTGTTAGTTTCATAGATTGGCAATTAACAGTCTGTACAGCGTTTATGACAGCTTTGTTCATGCATGCTTCTTTCCATTTGATTTGGTGCATTACTTGCCAGCTGGTTTTTACTCCTGTATGCTCAGGTGTGTAGATCCAGATGATGGTGGTGAACTCCCCTGTCACACAGTCGTGTTAGTGTCATAGATTCGCCATTAACCCCCAACCTAGTCTGTACAGCGTTTATGACAGCTTTGTTCATGCTTTTTCCTGTTTGCATTGGTGCATTTCTTGCCAGCTGGTCAGTTCTTTCATTACCATTTACTCCTGTGTGCCCAGGTGTGTAGATCCAGAGGACGGAGGTGAACTGCGACTTCCAATTGCCTTCTACCCATTTGGAGCGTAGACTACCTTTAGCGATTTTCTGAAGCATGTTCAGTCTGAAACGATTACGGCATGTGTGACCGCTTGTTCTGCTACCCATGCGAGAGCTCTGTATGTCTACTGTAACTGCTCCTGTAAAGCTGACATATGCTTGCGATTTTTTAAAATCTTTTTGGAATAATAATAATGCTAAGTTTTAGATGTACATAAATCACACAGCCAACCTGAGAAGAGTTGAGGAACTGAGGCAGCACACAACACTGCAGCAGCAGGTCTACAAGGGCACCAGCACCTTCACGGTCAAAGTTCACGGAGTCCAGTACATGACAGACTGCATACACACGAGCCACATCTGACTTCTGCAAATGGAAGATCTTCAGTAAGCATGCTCCATGAAAAACCCCTATCCTATAACAACTATCCATCTTACCTAGTACTGCTTTATTCTATCTTCATTTACAGAAGATCTTTAGTTAGCCTGCTACATAAAAACATCACTCGAAAATCACTGAAACTATATTTAAATTACATATTAGCCACTGTACTTATGACTGCTTCATTATTATACTCATCCTGATGATGTAAATATACTGTAGCCCTACATTAATTCCTAAAAAAAATTTTAAAAAGAAATCTACCTTCTGAATAGAAAAAAAAAAGAACAATGGCAATAGTCTGGAATGGCAGTCACATCTCACTATGACAACAGGTAATGTAAATTTTGGTGATTCCTGTCCTGATAATACATCAGCATTTCCAGACAATTCACTAGCACGTTTATTAACACACCCCCCCCCCCCCCAAGTGTCCAAACACATATTCATCAAATGAATTAATATGCTCTTTACTACAGAGATGTCTGGGTGCCATTTCTTGACAAAATCCTGTATTATTACCCAAGCAAACAGCCATCGTTAATTTCAGAACTTTTCCTCATCTGATAACTCACCAGAGGAGGGACGAATATGGATTTTTCGTGCGAATACTAAAGACAGATTTAAAATGAACAGGTAGGATAAAAAAAAAATGTATGCCTTTCAGCTGCAAGAAAGTACTGACATTGCACACCCCCTGATCTGTGGGAACCATGGTTGCTTAGTGACTAGTACACACAATTTCAAATACAATACTCTGTTAAATTCCTTCTTGACTTTTCATGACGAACCTAGTTCTATTAGCTCACAGGGTGTCTTCATGGTGAAGTGGTCAAGTACCTTGTACTCTGAAGGTCGGAGAGTCATTTCAGGTTATGTAGTTCTCATGTGTGCAATTTTTTTCGGAGATTCCTGGGAATCACTGCTGGAGCTTTGGAGTCTGTGCTTTGTACAATGCTCTTGGCAGGTGGTGGCTTGCCATTCTGTGGAGAGTTCCAGCTATAGGGATTACCTTGTGCAATGAAGCATTCCAGCTATAGGGATGCCCCTGTACAATGAAGCATTCATTTAACATTCATATATATATATACACACTTCTTCTTCGTGGTCACAGGCTGTAAACTTTGGCTGAAAGTTCTGGTTCTAGATTTTAGTCTTGTTCCACACCCTGAATGCCCATCAGTTTTACAGATCTGACTTATTCATATGCAGACTGGTGATTCTCTGTCTCTCAGGCAAAGGGACTTTGACGGAAGCCTCCAGTCAGTTGACTCACACAACATGTCTTTTAGGGGAGGCATGTTTTTGTATCTATTCTTGTTTTCCCGACAATGAGGTCCCGGAACCCACACACACAAAACCAAACACTGCTATGATTTATCTCCTGGTATAAACATACCGTAGCTTTAGGCCCTGTACTCTTGGTCAATAAATACACAAGAGTGTTCCCCATTAGCTCTTCTCGTCCGTGACCCTTTTTCAGCCACCAGCTCTCAAAGAGCCGGGAGATGTCATCCTTCAAGCTGGCATGTTCTGGCCCTAGACTGGGAAATATACCTGTTAAGAGAAGAAGAAGAAGAAGGAGACGGAAGGTAATTTTAATGTCTTGATCTATGTTTTCTCTAAATATCACTAAATTCCACTTCTGCCACTTAGCATTGTTGGAAGGAACAGTCTGCCATCCATTGCTTGATGGGCAGCAATGGCTGTTGTCATTCTGCTGGAGAATGACCAGAAAGGATGCACACAAGCTGTCCACCTTCCACCACACATGTCTACGTAGAATTATCAAAATTTTCCGGCCAGATACAATCTCAAACACTAAACTACTTCAAGTCACAAACCAAGAAACTTTAGACAGTATGATTACCAAGAGAAGATGGAAATGGCTTGGCCACGCAATGAAAATGACTTCTGATATACCTGCCAAAACAGCTCTCACAGGGACACCAGAGGGAAAGAGAAAACAGGGGCGCCCAAAAACAACATGGAGACGAACTATGGAAAGTGACCTGAGTGAAGCATCTTTGACATGAAAAACTGCACTGAAGATTGCACAGGACAGGAAAGCATGGAAAGTCCTCTCTGAAGCCTCATATGCCACTAGGCATAACGAGAACTGATGATGAAATTCCACTTTTGCCACTTAGCATCGTGGGAAGGAACAGTCTGCCATCCACTGCTTGATGGGCAGCAATGGCTGTTTTCATTCTGTGTCGATGTCAAAGCTCTTTGATCCTTTCGCCCTGAGAAACACACATTTCTGGCTGGGTTCAGCAACAGTATAATCTTAACCTGCACAGTGCACCTTACTATGTGGCCGTAAATTATCAGGCTCAAGACCCTTATCACTCCATTTTCTGCCCTCAGATATAGTAAATACAAGCAGTAAAAAAAAAAAAAAAGATAAGCGGGCCTATCCACTCTGAGTAGCAGAAGGTTTTGCATGAGATGGCCGTAGGTAGAAACTGCTACTAAGAAAATCCATAAGCACATTACTTTCAAAGAAACAACAAACACTGAGGAAGCCAGGTTTGTTAATTAAGTTCTAAAGAAATTTATACAGTAGGAGATTTAGGATTCTTATTCATTGTTCTTTAGCCGAAAGTCCAGGTTATTCATCCATTTGGACTCTGGCTTTGTGCCAGACTCTGAGTTTTGTTTGTGTATTCGTTTAACTAACTTATTCGTATGCAGTTGGTTGTTCCTTGCCGCTCGGGCAGATGCACTCCAACAAAGGAAGCTCTAAATTAGTCTACTCCTAAAACATGTTTGTTGAGGGACAGTGGAATCTATTCTTGTTTTCCCCACAAAGAGGCCCGGAAAACCCACGCAGGAAATGTAGGATTCACAGAACAGCAACACACATCAGACATTGCTTGGAACTGAAAGAGTTACTATCTCCACATCTCACAAAAGAATGACGACGGAAGAATCTATCAAAATGCTTACCATGAATCAAAATGGCAACTTCGATGAAAGACGGAGGCAAGAACAAGTCAAACCCCTCCTGTGACATGAGAGTTCCATGAGCCAGCCTAGTGATGCAAAACACGAGCTCACCGGTAGCTGTAATATCCTGTTTAGAAAAACACAAAGTAGGTACAGTGCAGATTTGATAAGAAGGACTCACAAGCGACCCAAGAAAATTGTTCTTCTTATAAGAAATTCCTCTTATCAAAATAAAAATTCAAGCAAGAAAATTGCCCGGGATAAACAAATGGTTCTTCAAAACAGAAATTGGACCACATCCGAGATCACCTTAATGCACTGTATAATAAAACGTTTTCTTTGTCTTTCTGATCTAACCTAGGAAGATCTAGGCATGACTCTTGGTTTACTGGATGAGTGTGAATCCTCTTGAGTTTAAATCTTGAAGTCCCCCCCATGTGGGTTCCGGGACCCCATGGTGGGGAAAACAAGAACAGACCCCCTACCTCGCTAACAAGCATGTCGTAAAAGTCGACTAACAAGGGATTTCCTTTGAAGTCGGAGTGCATCTGACTGAGCAGCAAGGAACCAACAGTCTGCATACAAATAGTTCAGATTTGTTCAGGTTCTGTAACAAGTCTTAAGTCCAGAGGTGGATGAACAACCAGAACTTTCCACCAGAGTTTACAACCGGTGAACACGAAGAAGAAGAAATTCTGAAATCCAAGAACATTAATGTTCTTGTTCTCTGAGTCCTGAAAAGGGTGTACATATATCCTAGTAATAACCTAGTACCATTTCCATAGGAGGGGGTTGTGGGGCTATGTTAGAGAGATCCCCTTTCCCTCTCCAAGCACAGAAACCAGTGGGTTATCCTTTTGGCACACAAGACATGTTCACAGGTGCTTAGATTTCCCCTCCAATTTATGCACCAGCATCCCATGGCTAACAGCAAAAGTACTAAGCTAGTTGAGAAGACTTCTTGTAAGTCAAGTGTGCCTGGCTGTGCCGATCTCTACTCCTAATTCTAATATTCTGTTATGCAAACACAAACTGCTCCAACAATTCTCTGATGGTCCTATCTCTCGAAGGACATTAATAATGTCAGCACAATCCACAGGCCGGTCATCTGTAGCTAATTCAGAACCGGCAGATCTATCAGCGAGTCGCACAAAACTGGTACATGAAACTTGAGAATTTTCTAATGTTTTCTTTAATGACTGATGTTATCTCTATTGTTTTACACAAGCTGAAATTCAGGAAATTAGTATGAACTTCTCTGAAGGGTAAAGAAACATTACACATTAGCTGAAATTCAGGAGATTCTAGTGAAGTATGAACTTGGGAAATCTAAGCGAAGGGTAGCAATTTAGAAAAGTTCAAGGCAAGAAGACCATCTAGGTTATGCCGTATGGTTCAGGCTTTCTCTGCAGAATGGCTAGCTGTCTGTCAGAAGTATTGCACAAACTGTATGGTTCAGGCTTTCTCTGCAGAATGGCTAGCTGTCTGTCAGAAGTATTGCACAAACTGTATGGTTCAGGCTTTCTCTGCAGAATGGCTAGCTGTCTGTCAGAAGTATTGCACAAACTGTATGGTTCAGGCTTTCTCTGCAGAATGGCTAGCTGTCTGTCAGAAGTATTGCACAAACTGTATGGTTCAGGCTTTCTCTGCAGAATGGCTAGCTGTCTGTCAGAAGTATTGCACAAACTGTATGGTTCAGGCTTTCTCTGCAGAATGGCTAGCTGTCTGTCAGAAGTATTGCACAAACTGTATGGTTCAGGCTTTCTCTGCAGAATGGCTAGCTGTCTGTCAGAAGTATTGCACAAACTGTAGCTCCAGTGGTAACTGCAACTGGGAACTGAACACATCTGTGAAATAAACCCATGACCTTCAAATGTGAGGTAAACAGATGGACCACTTTACCACACAGACCCCCTACAGTATTTAGATGTGTGTATGTGTGTATATATACACAGGGAACTAATCACTGATTTCACCCCATGTCACTCGCGTGTGAGATCTCGTGGCATCTCCACGAGCTGTCCTATGTTCTAGAGGGTCAGGTGTTGCTTGTTTTTACAAGGTTTAAAATACATCCACCTCCAACAACAGCCACCATTGAGCATGCAAATACATAAGCATCAATGATTCGATACAAACCGTCGCTTACCCCCGAAGTACTTCTTCTGTATACACAGTTGCCTGAGCCACTCACTCATAACAATACATTCCAGAAACAACATTCGTTAACACAAAAGACAGTAGTGAAAACAAAGCTGCACAGCTGTGCTTCAGAAGAAGCTTATCCACTTTGTCATACGAAAGCCAGTCACTTTGACCCACGCTGTCTCTAGACAGCCATCTCATCACCCCTAGATAGGACAGCCAGTGGGAATAGCTACAAGATGTCATGCGCGGGTGAGATGGGGCGAATTCCCTGATTAGTTCCATATATTTATATATATGAAACATTAGGTCAGCTCAGTTACCAGATTACCGAAGCCCACAAGTGAAGCAGAGAACAAAAACACTAAGCTGCCATGCATGTTGTAAGAGGCCACTGGGAAGTGTTGACGTGAGACTGACTACCATTTCCTGTAAGCAAAGACTTTAACTAGCCTACATAGAGTGTGAGATGGATGAGAACTATTGCTCTAGAGAAATGAAGGGCAGAAGTAGAAGCTCAGTTGCTGTGCCTGTCCCTTCTCCCCCTCCCGAAATGTTTAACTGATGATGACCATCAGTGACCCACTAATAATCACTAACTACTTAAGTCTGGGGCATACCATTGCTGTGTTCTGCAGTTCTTCAACAAACATACTCTGCACACTGTCCCATAGTTCCTGCAGCAGACGCCGACTGAACCCGGCCAGAGCATCATTAAGCACATCATTGGCAGACAGCTGAAAACAGAAAATTAGGACAGTCGTGGGATCCACACCATATTATTTTCACACTACAACAGCATTTACTCAGCTAAAACCAAATCTGACGGGTCGGATACATGTGGTCAATAGTCAGGAAGAACTTATTCCAATCACAACATGTCTTTAATTAATGTTCTGTTCCCCCCCCCCCCCCCCCAATTAAGTACAACGGCCCATTGGCTCAACTTTGAGGTGCTGTGCTTTCCAAAGCTACCCTTTTTAAACAGCTGATGTTTGATGTGAACAAAGTAACTGTTTCAGAGAAACAATACTGCATATTAACCAGCTGTCAATGTTTGGACTGCAGAATTCTAGTATCATGCCCATTCTTAGTTACCAAGATGGTGGAGTCAACACTGTTAATTGATTCTGTGAAGTTTAAAATATGTTTTAATTGTGTTTTCAACACCATATTTTTAAAATAAGGATGATCGTGTTACAGGTTCAGAAAAATTATAGACAATTTATTGTTTCAACTGTTACTACTCTAGAATTATGAAGGAAAAACACAATTCTATCAGTGTTGAGCAACGGATCATACCCCTATTCCCCCCTCCCCTTCAACACTCCACTGCAAAAATGGAAATTGATGATGATCAAAGTATTTTAAAACGTGTCTGTAACAAAAATACAAGAGCATTTTGAGAAACACCATTTTGGTTTCAAGACTGTGAATGGAAAAACCCCCCTTGCACATCCACGCAGTAGAGACTGGTAAACACACCATGGTGTGGCCAACGTAGCTCTATTCACCAGGATAAGTGGACTTCTCTGGGGTGCCCTCTACTATTAGCGGGCATATCACAGAGAAGGACACTCACTTGCCCAGGCAATCTAAAAGATTGCCAAAGGCTGAGGATATAGTTTAAAGCCACATGGATGTGGAAATAAAGGGGAAACAATGGCATTATTATCTCCACACAAAAAAAAAAACTGGAGGAAATATACGGAGACATGGATTCTCTTGTTCTAGATTAATCAAGATACAGCAGATCAAGTGGTTTGGCCATCTTGTTAGAATGCAGCAAGATCAAACACCATCACAGGCCCTACATCTCTCAGAAGATCAGCCACAAGACACTGAGAAAACTATGGATCAACAACATTAAAGACACTACCCCTTTGTTAGTTAGTTGGGTTATCCTCATTGCACTCCGGACAAGTCCATAGGTGCTCAGATCCTCCCCTCAGTATGAAACCCAACATCCGATGGCTAATAGTACCAGTTCTATGTTGATTAACAAGTCTTCTGGCTTGTCTGGTGTGCGTCTCGTTTTTTGCTGTGCCGATCTAAATTCCCAAGTCTGCCATTCTGGCGAGTGATGTGGATTCACTGCCACCAAAGTGCTCTATCCTTCCCATTTCTCTGAGGGCATTAATAATATCAGCATGATCCATAGGCTGACCGTCGGTAGTGATAGCGGATCCAGCCAACCTGTCAGCTCTACCCCTTTACGGCATGACAACAGCCAGTGGCAGCCAGCGTGCACCGGATCACAAATTAATTCTTTCCACGGCGCATATAAAGTGGTTTATAATAATGATGACACAAGTTCTTCAGCAGCAGCTAACATTGCTACGACTTCAGAATCATAGTTGCTGCAGTACTTTCTAACTACATATTATATTTGAACTGGATTTGTGTGAATATTCTGAAATATACACTTGCCCTTCCATTTATTGTAGTATTCTGTGTTGATCCCTCTGAATATATTTCCATGCAGTTATCAATATTTGAATGGGCATGAATAAGAAAGCTAAAACTTCTTTTGAATTATATACTCTATTGTAGCTATTTTTTTTAATTCTCTGTAACCTGTACTTTTAGTAAATAAGTAAAAAACTTTTTTACGCCTTCAGGTCTATTGGGGATATAGGGCTAGACCTATACTTTATAGAGGCATCTTATTTTTGTCGGAATTAAATGTTTTAGAAACTTCTTTCTAAAGTTTGTCAGGATTGGTCAGCTTTTATGGCATATATAAGCTTAATCCTTTCAGCTGTCAAATCTTTTAATCTCTTTTGTACTGAATGATGACTCATAAAGTGCTATCAAAATGGATCATATTTAATATCTTAAATACTTGCCAAAACAAACTGAATATTTACAACTACTTTATTTTGCTCTTTATTTCTTTTGTTAATGTTGATGTGCAATCAACACAAACTCTCCAATAGATGCAACAGAACTAGATTAGGCACTGTTCAATCAGTTCTGTCCAACATTTTAATGATCTATAGAAGTAGAATTTTAATTTAATAGCTAATATCGGTGTATAATTTATTGGAGAAAAAGGGGGTGGGTAAGGCAAGGTACTGATTTCTGCAAGTGTTAGTGGACCACTTATTAAAAAAAAGAAAAAGAATTAAATGTAGGCAGGGCTGATAACAGTAAAGAGGGAACACAGAAATTTGCCTTTAACTTTAAAAGGTAGAGAAAGATATGTTAGGTAGGTTTAACCACAGCCTTCTCTATTTATTAGAGAAGGTGTTGGTTTAACCAGCAGAAAGACTACTGTGCAGAAAGGCTACTATTACTACTAGTAATTCTGAGTGATAATAACTATTAAATATGACAGACTTCATGAAATCATGTGACAGAAAAACAAAATGGGATATTCATTTAAAAAAATCATTATGTCATTCCATTATTATGATTATGTTCATTATACTGTTGTGTCAAAACTGTCATTATTCTGAATTCATGGTGGTTGACGGTCAACTGTCAATGTTGATCGATGTTTGCCTAAGACCACCCGTAGACTCAGTCTAAGACTGTATTAAAATATTTGGCTCTCCTTTCACTACCAGACGGTAGCTGGACGGCTTAGTGGGAGTTCTCTCCCTTGGCCGCATTGCAAACAGCGAGCGGAAAAGTCATGAATCAAAGAAGACAGTGAGGTCGATATCAGGGCTGCCAATGCTTGGTTGTGTCCCCCAGATCTGGGGTTTTTTTTTTTACGCTGCGGGGAAATCTGGGTTTTTGTTTGTTTTTTGCCGATCTGTATGCTTTAATGACCGATAAATTTGTGTGGTTAGGGGTAGGATTAGGGTTAGGGTTAGGTTTATCGTTAGATGTGACAATTTTGACGCAGGAGTTCCCTATAATCGCGCAGTCACATACACACCCAAGCAGTCGACGGACTGTGGATGCGACTGATACGGACAGTTCGCCACCGATTGGGCACCAGTCGCGCGCTATTGCCGTCATATTTGGCAGAATCCTAGTGGCGCCACTCCCACAAGCATCAGATTGTCGGCCAGTATTTGGAACTCCTACATCAAAATTTTCACATCAAACCCTACCCCTAACCCAAACCCTGCACGCAACCGTATGATGATAGACACCATACGCAATCCTACACGCAACCGTATGATGACTACACAACCCTTCACGCAACCCTACACGCAACCGTATGATGATAGGTAAGTTTGTCATTTGATTCGTGACTTTTCCGCTCTTTGTTTGCAATGCGGCCAAGGGAGAGAACTCCCACTAAGCCAGACTAAGCCGTCCAGCTACCGTCCGGTAGTGAAAGGAGAGCCAAATATTTACACATTCGGACTTATTTCAATTACTGTATACAAGTGTCTACAATAAACAACAATGGAGACTGTTCAACAGAAATTAAAAGGAGGATGGCCTTGGCAATGCAAAGATTGAACAGCCTTAAAAGTTTATGGTTAAGCACCAGCAAGGAGATACAAATTAGAATTTTGAGAGCATGCATCTTCCCTGTGGCTACATACGGATGTGAGTCGTGGACTATCTCTCAGTCCTTAAGAAAGAGAATAGGGGCTTTTGAGCTGAAATGCTATAGAAAGATTCTCAGAATATCTTGGACAAAGAAGAGGAGAAATATTGACATCTTGAAAGATCTGAACATCAAGGAAGATTGGCTAATAAACAGCATCCTTTCTCGGAAGCTAAAATATTTTGGTCATATCAAGCGCCACGACGGATTGGGAAAAACTATAGCAGAAGGCATGATACCAGGAAGGAGGGGCAGGGGCCGACCGACACGAAGTTGGGCACATGATATAAGTGACTCCTTGGGTGTGAAAGTATATGAATGAGGCGGGAGAACTGGCGAGAGACCAAGTTTTTTTCAGGCAGACTGAGACTGTGATGAGAGCTGCGTTCTGCAAAGGACCTGCTACATGATGCTGAATACAAGTGCCAGTCAATAGTTGTGTAATCACACACAACATTGACTGTTAAATGTCTCTAGAACTAAAAAAAAAAAAAAAAAAAAACAACAGCACCTAATTTTTCTGAGTTTCATAAAATGGGAAACTGCACTTTTTAACTTTTGTTTTCATTTAGAAAAATTTGTGATGAATTTGTAGAAAATTAGATCCCGGATAAGAGGCAAAAATTAATCTCACCTCTTTAATACACTGTATTAAATTAGAGATATCCTTCGTCTTAAGTGACTCAAGAAGGTTATCCTTTGTTGCCATTCTTCCCCGAGGTAACAATTTTAACGAGAAATCATCGAAATCTCAGACACTGGGAGGGAGTCTGCAATGTTTGTAATTTGCGCTTTTGGCTTTTTGCTTACCACTTCCGGTCTTCAGTCAGACCCTTGTTATTCACGTAGAAATATAATACGAATAATTTTCATAAAGATTTTACATAAAATTGTAAATTTTGATACTTCATATATTTTCTGATTAAACTTGTGACATTTATATATTTTTTAAGGTAAAATAAAAACTACACTCAGGTTATCTTGAGTATTCACTTTTCATTGGCTAAGTTAAGGAATCACCCTCCTTTTTATCCAATCAAATCGCCAAGAATAAGGAATTCCACGCGGAAGTGTTTAATTTTAGACCTGGAAATAGTTTCCCAGAAACAACAATTCTCTCCAATTTGACTTTTTCGGGTTCTGACAGCACATGTGTTTTGGTATGATTTAAGTTTCTCAAGCTTTCTAAACTTTGTCATAAGGTTCTGTGACTCAACGGGTCTTATGTTCCATGTGACTACGTTTTATACATTGTTTCCTGTATGTGTATAGCAGACGTGTGCTCTTTGAGAAGAGAAACTTGTCTACCTCTAACTCCAGACACGACACAGAAACTGAGAAACTTTCAGAAACCTAAACTGAAATTTCATTATAAAAAGAAAGATAATGAATAATAACAGTCTGACGTTGTCCCGAATTTCCAAAATACAGACAGTAAATCTCAGTATAAATAAAGATGCAGCATAAAGTTGTGTCATTCACATGTTGTGCTGTAGCAGAATGGTTTGTACCAAACACCTAAAACTTAAATTACCCAGACTGAGACCAGATCATTAGATTATGTTATGTACGGCTCTCCTCCGAACTTCTACCCCCGCAGTATTGCGGCCTGAAATATCCGTTCGGGGCGCAGTCCAATTAAAAATATGCCGACTCCGTATAACGAAACAAATGCTCTAACAGGGTCTCAGCGATATGTTACTAATACTTGCGGACCTGTTTCTTATTGTGTCTGATTACCTGACAATTCTAAGAGATGCAACACTGCGCGGACGTGTTTCTGTGACAATGCCTCACCGCTGACCGTATACCCCGCGCCGCTACGCGTAGTGCGGATAGGGCTGGGACTCACGAGCGGCAGCTACCGCATCTCCTGCAACTTCCTCCCAGGCACCTAGTTTAGCCCCCCCCATCCGCGTGATACCCTCTGTGGTAAGTTTAATCGCGTTTTACGCATGCCGACAAGTCTGACATCTACCGCTGCTAAATCCTCAATCGGAAGAACAGTATTGCTGATCTGCGTGGGAGCGCGTGGTCTACCCGCCATATCGCTTTCATCGTCTATAATGTCTCGACATTGTCACCGGTCGCTTTTATCGTCTGCAATGTTGCGTCTCGTGACATTGTAAGGTACTCCTAGTTTTGCCGCAATTTGTTCCTCGGCGGGAACTCCGACAAGTCCGTATTTTTAATTGGACTGCGCCCCGAACGGATATTTCAGTCCGCAATTCTGCGGGGGTAGAAGTTCAGAGGAGAGCCTTACGTACTTTACTTCCTAAGATGGACAACGCAGCGACAATTTGATTATCAGTTATTTGACAAATACACTAGAATCATGTATTATTATCATAAATTGTATTATTATTATTATTATGTTGCAAATTACTCAGGGGACAAAATTGTGAAATCCAGAAATGTGATCATTCATCAGGGGCTAGAAGCCGGAGCATAGAAAGTAAAGCTCATTAATACAGTAATGGACAAAGATTCATTAGTAGACTAATGTCACACTTGCTAGACCCTCCGGGCCATCAGTTGAATAACCATCATTATCATCATTCACTAACCCTGTGTGTTGCTGGGTCACCAGTTTCTGCTGACTGTCTGATCAGCTCTCCACCTTTGAGGCGTGTCCAGTCAGTCAGGTTCTGTAACCAGATCTTTCTTGGTCTGCCTCTTCCCCTCTTTCCCTCTACTGAGCCCTGCAGTATTGTTTTTTAGAGGCTGTTAGATCTTAATAATATGACATGTCCGTACCATTGCATTTTTCACCTTTTCACTGTAGTTAAAAGAAGTTCATACATAAAAAAAAAAAAACTATGGCGCATGAAATTTAAAATAACCAGAAGTAGTAAGCATAAAACATATATATATATATATATATATATATATATATATATATATATATATATATATATATATATATATATATATATATATATATATATATATATATAGGATTACAAGAAAACAAAAACTAAATACAGTAAAACCTTGTTAATTTGAATTTCAAGGGACTGAAAGTTCAGGAGTCATGTTAACAATAGTCCCAAGTCACTTCCTATTAATGTGGTTTTACTGTTTACATCCAAGTTTTAGCCACATAAAGGTTGAACATGACATCCTTAATTAAATGACTATCACTGAAATTTATCTTATGAATAAACAATGATCATGTGTATCTGCTAAATCTCAGAAACATAATAATCTACATTATTCACTGATGTTAAAGACATTCAGTATGAATTCCAGTAGATATAAATAGTTGTCTATTCTGTATAGGGTACAGCAGAAGCAACTGAAGCTTGTTTTGTGGTTTTACTAAGCACTTTTATGTTTAGCAGTTTACTGTTGCAAACTGAGGGGGCTACATGGTCTCGAGGCATGGTGTCCGCCTCGAGTGCTAGAGGTTCTAGGTTCTATCCCCAGTGAGGGCTGAGATTTTTTCACGTGGACTCGGACTTCGTGAAAATCTCCTCCTGGTCTCTGGGTAGTGGGATCGGACGCCCCTGTGCATTGTTGTGCATGTAAAAAAAATCCCCTGGCAGTTGGAAATTGAAAAGATAGCCTAACGGCGCTGCCCGGGCAAAATTTGGTGTTAAAAATCTACCCAAAGTATTTCAGGATCTTTGCCGGTGCTACAGAGCCTGTGCCCTGTGCTGAGCTTCTTCGGACTCAGACTTGAGCTAGAAGAAGTACAGAGTACTTATGGGTTACTAACAGTGTGCCATGATTTTGATCCGTTGTTCAAACTTCAAACTGTTGCTTACTGAATGGTAGTGCTCCATATCATTGTCAAAATCAGTGCCAAGTAATCTGTTGACAGATCCCCTGCAGTTAAATCAAACCAAGTCTGTCATACACACCAGCTCAGAAGGATTTCGTAAAAGACTGCTGTTAGTATCTGTGTTCATCTCTTTTGCTGTGTTGGGGGCAGGGGTCTTTGAGACTTAGGATTTAGGGCCTCATGGCTAGTGAAGTCACCACAGTCTTTGCTGGTTATGATTTTATTTTTGTCCCAACAGATAAAATGCAGCAACCTTATTGAGGATTCAAATCTGGGTTTTCCACTTGCGAGCCCAGCGTTCTGAGCTGTTCCGCCAGGCGCTTCTCAAAGGATAAGACTATTGAATAATCCCTCTCTTGATATCTGCTTGCACTCTTTCTCACACCTTCTCCCTCCTTGTATGGTTTACATGCCCCATTTAGGGGAAGTTGGTATAGACCCTTCCCTCCCCCTTTGTTTGTTACAGGCATGTCAAAAGAGATGGCTGTTTACGGGTGTTTTCTTCAATTCAAAGTTGTAGTGCTTCTGCCTGAGAGGCTAAGAATCAACAGTTGCATACAAATAAGCCAGATCTGTAAAACAGAATGCATACAAAGCTGTGGAACAAAATCATAGTCCAGAAATGAACAAAATACCAGAACTTTCCACAGGAGTTTGCAGCCAGTTAATGCAAAGAAGACAAATATATGATACATACATCCGTAATGAAGCTCCTATAAATAGGAGATAACGTATCAAACAAAAGGCATTTAATATAGTGGCAGAAATATAGGTAATAGTATTGTTGTGTGCTAAACTCACTTTGCTGTTCAGGACGTCAGGGGCGTGATCGCCTATGCCGGTCGCGGAGGTGCTAGATGATGATGGCGATGGTAGAGGCGAGTGCAAAAGGTCATCGCTGTGCACAAAGTTGGGAAAGAGGTGTTTTTGGAGTTTCACTGCCAACAGTGGTTTGCACGCATTTTGCGAGACTCATGCATGGCCGGACACTGGGCTGGAAGGAATCCGTGGGTGAACAATTAGTAGTACTCAGTCGTTGTGATAGTGCGGACATATGTTGGGATGTGTGTGGTTTTTTGTAGTAATCATGTGTATTATTTTATTCTGAAGAAATCTTAGATTGTTTGTTAGAATTTGGTGTATTTTTCGAAATGCCGCTGTTGAGTGTATTTAACTGAGACAGGGTGTTGAGGGCCCAACATCTCTTTATGATCCAACTGCGAGGATGTGTTTCTGATTGCATTGGAGGCTGATTGGGTTGGGAGGCGTAGTGCTATGGGCATAGCCAGCCTCTAGTCAGCTATTATGTATAAGTTATTGGTGATCCAAAGTGTGGGCACATAACCGAGGCGTTTATTAAAGGCTACTGGTGACCCCAGGAGGGGGCCCATAGGCCTAGGCGTTTTATGTTGTGGACTCACGTCAATTTCAGGCTGGGTGTTCCGCTTTAAGGTGACACCGCCTTGGAGGCAGATCAGTGAGTATCTTGGGGTATTGACAGACAGTAGTTCTGTAATCACAAATTCATCTTCATCGTCATACTGTGTTTCGTCTAAATAAATAGACTGATGCACGATTATAGAGATGACTCTTCCCGTCTTGTTGTGGTTGGCGGTTGACTTTTTTTTTTTGATTTTGGTGTACGATGTGGTCTGTGTTAGTTAAGTACTCACAGGTAAGGAACCCGATTAGTCACCGAAGGTCGACTTGGGAACTTTTGCATATATGGCTGAAGCATTAATCGCTCACCTCTAGACACTTCGCCAGTAGGCGGTGCCTTACAAGCATTCACTTTACATCAATGGAGGCCTGAGCCGTAGAACTTGTGCATCCCTTGAGGAGTCGTGATCATGTTTAGATATGGGCACATGTTCAAGGGGGACCATAAGTCGCCCTACCCTGGAAAGAGCGACATTGAAGACCAGTTATCTAAGCCACCAATTTCAGTTTTGTTTGCAAATGTCTAGCATCCTTCTAAGAGAAACTTTAACTGTGCTGTTGAGCACATTCCACGATTTGAAGGCCAAGAGCCGTGTTATGCTTTGGAGAGAATTAGTCATCGTTCGTATATGTTCGTCCTGGACAACAATGGAGGCTAAACCAAGCCTTCCTACGTTGGAGATCAGAGTAAGATCTAAGAGAGTCGAGCAGTGCAGAGCTCTGAGATAACTGTCCTTGGGTGACGACGCGTGTGGCGGTCATAGTCATTACTTAAACAAGGCAGTGATTTTACGTACGAGAAGGGATCTCGTGAGATGACGGTGTCGGCTGTGTGCTGAGGGCACTCAGAACTTGGAGTCCTGTCGGTCAGTGTAGAATAGATCGCGAGGCTGATTTTGCCTTGTGCATATTGTGATTCTAAGGGTTCTCAGTCAGCCAGGGTAAAAGTGCCTGTTAGATTATATCAACGGAGGTCAGCTGAGTATGTGAGATGGAGCCTGTTCATCCAAACAGCTAGTCCTAACGAGGAAATTAGCCAGTGACCTAGGCACTGAGGCGGTGAGCTTAACAGTCTGAACGACAGCAAGTTGTAAGCTGTGTCATGAATGTCATGAAGCGCCACTAGAACTGTGTTTGGCGGGTATGAAGCCTAATGAGGTTAATCCCATGTTAGCCAACGCAAGGACTTGTGTCAGTTGCTTAGTACCATTTCTTGTGTAGGGGTTGGTGAACCCTAGTATTCTTGTAAACAAATGTATGACGGACAACCATTGTTGAGTTTATCTAACAGTATGCTCATGAGTTGTGTACTACAGTTTGGAGTTTGAGCGCAAGTCATATCCTAGACTCTTGGTTATGTGTCCGTGTGCTCTCACCTCGCATTAGCACAGGACATGTATATGATTACTGCAGTTGTCTCAGAGGCTGAAATATAAATTCTTCTTTGCAATTGAAATTTATTTATATACATGCAGAATGGAGAGACATCTCTGTTAACGATTATTGCCAGTACAAGAGGCAATGATACACATAATGAATGCTGTCTGTTTATATGCCATATAAAACTTAGTTTGCATATTCTTTACAAGGCATTGCCGAACCAACATCAGCATTTTTGGGTTTGGCACGTGCACACACGCACCCGCCACTTAATCCCGTCCTTATGATTTTGTATAAACTGTTGTGTCGTTTAAATAACAAATACAAAATCAGAATTGGTCAAGACGTGCAGATTAGTGAATGTTTCAGTCAAGGTCTTCATCAACAGAATACTTACTTAGCTACAGAACCCAAATGAAAACTATCACACAGAAGAGTAATCCACATGACATTTGATTTGGCCAAAGTAGCTTGTCTTTCACACATTTGGTCGACCTCAGTGTTCAGTTTCTGTTCAGAATCAGAAAATATTTTACCCTACTACTACTGCAAGGATTGAACCCAACACCACTGTGTCAGTAGATAAGAGTGTTAACCATTTTACCTCCGCTGCTACTAAAGAAAACCGAAGCTTGCTTTATTATACACTAACTGATAACCCTGCCAGGCAATATAGGGTAGACCCTAGAATGGAAAGCCTTTGCTTGATTTACATCCTGTATCTATTTATAGATACACAGATTCTGGGAAAGCCTATTTTATAATGCTGAGGTAGTTCCAGGAACAGTTTATACCGTAACATTGGGTTCCTAGAATAACACAACATGCCATGTGTATTGATCAGTGTACATGTGGGGCAAATGACATGAGGAGATTCTAGAGAAGTGGTGGATGATGAAATTAGTCGTTTAGGAAAAGCTACTTTCTTGAAAACTTCATCTTCGTGCTTTCAGTTCTGCATAGAGTTGTGCGCCATATTGAATGGACAGGAAATATCAGTTGAATTAATGTTTTAGAAATATGTATTAGTTTTGTTAAGAAATTATCAGTTTTAATAACACTTCTTTTAAACTGTGTATCTTGTATGTGATACTGAATATAAAGAAGTTTATCAGTTTAGGGACATTTGAATAGGACAGCTGAGATACCATTTATAAAAATTTAGCAAAGTATAACAGTTAAAAATAATGCTCATTGAATAAATTAATGTTAAATGGACAGACACTGATCTTTCTACGGATACTTTAGAAATGGATAATCACATTGACCAGTTGAATTGTAACCATGAAAATATTCAGGTAACATGTGTTTTATGCAGTTAGTTTTTTTCTCTAGAGCTTTTCTTCTTCTTTGGCTTTCATTGAACTCAATGCAGCATAGGCTGTCAACCAACTCACACTGTGCAATTTGTAGACTTATTCATGATTCGTTGGGGTTGGTATCTATGGGATAAGGTAGCCAGTTTTGGGCCAGCTATCCCTAGATGCCTGTTATGACATGCATAAAAAAAAGTTATGTGCCATCTCCCTCAGAAACTTGTCATAAAAGGTGATAAATTAGGATTTGCTGAAATCAAATATGTTAAGCTGAAAGGCACATATCTCACAGCCTAGCTGTAAACCACAACACAACATGCCAGCTGCCTTTTAAACATGAGCCCAGAAGAAGATGGAGAATGAATGCACTTTACATTGTTTTTCGGTGAAGGCTGTTAAATATATTGCAAGTTAGATTTTAAAACCGGAGCCAGATAAAAAAAAATTCTGGTTGTTTGTGCACTTCTGGACTGTAGTCCTGTTCCAGAACCTGAGTGTTGCGCATGCATCCATTTTACATATCTGTCTCATATGTATGCAGACTGTTGGTTCCTTGCCTCTATGGCAGATGCACTCTGACTTCGAAGTATGCTCCCAATTAGTCGACACTTACGACAAGCTTTTTGGTAGGCAGTGGGTCTAGTCTTGTTTTCCCTAAAATGGGGCCCCGGAACCCACATGGCACCAAGTCCTGGGAAATAAGTGCAGCTGGTGTGATGTGGATTATTTCATCCACAGAATACTGCATGGTCTATAAAATATAGGTCTACTATATGCCTAACAAGACAAGGCATGTACAGGTGTCCTCTTAATAAAAAAAAAAACTGCTTTTCTTTCACTGTTTGTCTAGAATTGAATTTACTGAAATTAACGCATTTTTTGAATGATGGATAGCTCAAAATAAGTCAAAATTCAGATGACATCTGTTACATTGTAACTGTATGGGTATCATTTTTATTTAATCTCTGCTAATTTGAAGGAAAAAAAAAAGATGTTTATTTGATATTCAGGAGGATACAGTCAGCTCATCTGCTGTCATGTCTCAGTGGGCAAAAGTGCAGCAGAGCCCGACCATCTTTCGGGAGATGCAGAAGAATTATCCACCATACTTTCCTATGGAGGTTCGCTACTTCCTGTGTCAGTGGATAGAAGATCAGCAATGGTGAGTTTTGATATGTTAAAGGATTTCTGTATTTTTTTTTTCCATTCTTAATCCAAATTATTATCAGAATTTATTTGTAACATTTTATTTTCTAGTGATTCTGAAATTGTCGATGACTCGAATGTTTACCATGAACAGATATCAGTCTAAATAAGAAATACAGCTAGTCAGCTGTTCAGTATCACAGTCACTAATAACAAGTGAACGTTGCAGCTGGAAAGCCTTCATCATCGTATAGTCTAAGTCATAGTGGAAGTTTCAACTTCAGTGCAGTTGGTTCAGCCCATACTTGCTCTATTCCTGCACCAGTGAAAATCAGATGCAATGTCCCTCACTGTCGCATTTGAAAAAAAACTGGTGAACAAAGAATGAACTCCAGCATAATCCATAAATGTGCGCATGCAGTAAATGCATAGGGCAGTTGCTAGAGGCGCTAAAGTCAACAGTCGCCACCAGAAATGCAGTTTGTTGTTGAGGAAAGTAGTGGGACACAATAACTTGGCTATACACACTTCATCATCTTATGAAACATTACACAAACATACAATGATACAGTTACAAACAAGAATACTTCAAATCACTTGTCTGTAAATGTAGGTCTCATACGGGGATATGCAAAACATGTCTGATTCACCTGTGATGCAAGAAGAGAGCACTGGACACTGTTGTTATCTAGACTGTGAAGCCTGTTTTGCTTTGGTTTTCAGGGACATGATTGATACAAACAACTTGCAGTATTCATCAGTTGCTGAGAAGATTCTCAATGAAATGTTGGAATTATTGCGTTGTAAAACTTTAGAGCTTACAAGTCAGGAGTTCTTTATTATTCGAATAAAACTTGAAGAATCAGTTCAGAGACTCGAGGTGAGTACTGATATTATTTCAGTGAATCAAATCTTTTTAGCGAGTGGAGATTAGTTTAGATGCCACCACGTGCTGAGGGAAATAAGGATTAGAAGGTCTAACCACTTATGGACTGAATGACAAAAATAGATCCACTGTCTCCCCAACAAGCAGGAGTCGACTTATCTGCCCAAGCAGGAAAGAACAACCAACTGCACACAGATTAGCCAGTAAAACAGATATACACGCAAAACTCAGGTCTTAGCACAAAGCCAGAATCCAAAAGGGTGAAAAACTATGACTTTTCTGCCAGAGCTTACAACCGGTGAACAAAGCTGAAGATAAAGAAGACCATGGGGTTTAGGAAAGTGTTTGAATGTATCAGTTCTAAATCTTGGTAAAAAAATAATGGCTCTACTCTGAATAACTGTTTCAAATTATCTACGCAGAAAGTAAAACCTAACAGAGCCTCACTGATATCTAAAATTTGCATATTTTTTGCTGCGAATCAACCCCGTCAAAAGTAGGATTAATTGTGCACGACATTTTCGCGAAACGCAACGGATCTTTTAACGGCGATTAAACGGCAGCAAAACTAGGATTAACTACAGACGAAAAATTAGCGACACGCAAAAAATACTCCCGATAGCGCTATCCTACGGCACGGCCTCAGTTATATGTAAGTTGCAGACCACTTTTTGCTGACTATAGTGCCACCTCTGAGAGTATCCCTGTGCCGCTACACGCGGCGCGGAAGGGGCTAAACTAGATGCCTAGGACTCACGAGCAGCAGCTACCGCTTTGCCTGCAGCCTCCTCCATTGTATTTGCTCGCGTAGCGGCGCGGGGGATACACTCAGAGGTGGCACTATAGTCGCCGGAAAAAAAGTCATGAGCTACTTCTTCTGTTGTAACTGGCAGCGTGGTCGCATTTGCCACGGTCAAGGGGTGGTCGGGATAGTGAAGCACCATAGTGGCGGATGCTGGTTTGAAGTTGTCCCGAGGCGACATGCTCGTACATTAAAATGCGCATTACTGATTATGTCTCGAACGGAACGAGAATCGTGGACAAGCCGCCTCCTGTTCCCATCTTATTCAGGTGAGTTGGAATGGCGGACAGCCAGAAAGAACAGATATTCGCGCACTATTTGCAACTTCTGTGCCGCAATTTTCACATATAAAGGATTTAACTGTCGGTAAGTAGTAGACTTCGCCCTTTTCCTCATACTTTTCATTTCTTATTTTTTCCGAGCTAGAACTTTTAAATGTTTGTAGGGCTGGACGTAATGAGGCTCTGTTAGGGTTTACTTTCTGCGTAGATAATTTGGGACCGTTTCGAAATAAAGCCAAAATAATTAATGAACTTGTGTGAGTAAGTATCTTTAAGGATTGATTGGAGGAGGCCTGTCTTTACCATGGAGATGTGAGACAGAGAATTTTAGAGGCTCATTTCAACTGACCTTCAGTGTGAAGATGGCACATGATTTATTCTGTCTGTCTCACCTTCCACCTCTCTTGATCTCTGCTGCTGTCTTTCTCACACCTTCTCCCTCTCTCATTTTCTCTCCCACTCTTTTTGAGCTCTCTTTTAACATCTGTCTTACCTCCCACTATCTCTTTCAGCTTCTCTCACACCATCAGCCTCTATCATCATCTCTCCATCCTTCTCTTGATATTTATCTTGACCTCCCTCTCTTTCAATCATTCTCTCACCTTTCCCCGTTAATTTATCTCTTTCAATCACCCTTCCCTCCCTCATCCTTGCCTCTGTTATTGCAAACTTTTAAATGTTTGGTTGAATATTTATTTTCACCTATTTCAGAACCTGGTGAAAACAAACCCATTAGAAATGGTTCAGGTTATCAAGAATTGTCTGGCCATGGAGGAAAAACTTATTGGTCAGTCAGAGGTAGGATAGTTCCCTTGAAACATTGGGGGATTGTATCTGTCACTTGTAGCAAAGCGTTGCAGATTTCACATGCTGAAAGCACCAAACATATGCCATAGATACCTTATTTATGTAATAAACTCTTCCACGTCTTAACTCTTTGAGTCCCAAGGAACGCATCATTCGTTCATAGGTTCCTACCTAGAAGCCCAATGAATGCATGATGCGCTGATTTTATTACTTTCTTGACTACCCCCTGGGCCTGTGATGCTAAACCCCCTGGGACTCAAAGAGTTAAAAAAACACATCACTTATTCTAGGCTCGATGTATGTTATTGATGTCTTTTTGTATGTAATAGTCAAATAAAGTCAAGTAAATCACACAGGTAAAATCAAGTAAATCAAAATAACAGAGTCAAAGTAAACCACACAGTCTAAGTAAACCACAGTCTAAGTAAACCACACAGTCAAAGTAAACCACACAGTCAAAGTAAACCACACAGTCAAAGTAAACCACACAGTCAAAGTAAACCACACAAATAAAGTCAAGTAAAAAACACACAAAGTCGCTGAAGGTGTGGGAAGAGGTCCTTTACTTTTTACTAAAAAAATACAGTTAGGTCAAGTAAACCACACAAATTAAAGTCAGGTAAACCACACAGGTAAAGTCAGGTAAACCACACAGGTAAAGTCAGGTAAACCACACAGGTAAAGTCAAATATCCCTGTACAGGTTCCAGGTCCCCATTATGAAAAACAAAGAAGATACCCACTGCCCCGACAAGCATTTTGTAAGACTCAACTGATTAGGGATATTTCCTTTGAAATCGGAGTGCATCTGCCTGAGAGGTGAAGAACCAACAGTCTGCATACAAATATGCCAGATCTGTAAAAAGGATGTGCACACAAAACTTTAGTTCTGGAAAACTGCTAGTCTAGAAGTAGACGAACAACTAGAACATTCTGCCACAGTTTACAGCCAGGGAAGACCAAGAAGTCAAATAAATCACACAAATAAAGTCAGATGAAGTATTCTTTTCATACCATTGATGCATGGGGCATATAGTGCTAGATGCATAGTTTTATAGATCAGCTGGTATGGGTCCAGTCTGGCCACCTTTACTTCTTGATACATTTATTGGAATCTCATTTGAGGCAGCCTGTGAGTGCTTGGCAAGTGTGCTAAAGACTGGTCTGCCAGACAAGCATCAGGCAGGTGTGCTAAATAGTTTGATCTGCCAGGCAAGCATCTTTTCAGTGTGCTAAAGCCTTTGGTCTGCCAGGCAAACATCTGGTAGGTGTGCTAAAGTCTTTGGTCTGCCAGGCAAGCATCTGGTAGGTGTGCTAAAGTCTTTGATCTGCCAGGCAAACATCTGGTAGGTGTGCTAAAGTCTTTGGTCTGCCAGGCAAGCATCTGGTAGGTGTGCTAAAGTCTTTGATCTGCCAGGCAAGCATCTGTTAGGTGTGCTAAAGACTTTGGTCTGCCAGGCAAACATCTGGTAGGTGTGCTAAAGTCTTTGGTCTGCCAGGCAAGCATCTTTTCAGTGTGCTAAAGTCTTTGGTCTGCCAGGCAAGCATCTGGTAGGTGTGCTAAAGTCTTTGGTCTGCCAGGCAAGCATCTGGTAGGTGTGCTAAAGACTTTGATCTGCCAGGCAAGCATCTGGTAGGTGTGCTAAAGACTTTGGTCTGCCAGGCAACCATCTTTTCAGGGTGCTAAAGTCTTTGGTCTGCCAGGCAAACATCTGGTAGGTGTGCTAAAGTCTTTGGTCTGCCAGGCAAGCATCTGGTAGGTGTGCTAAAGACTTTGGTCTGTCAGACAAGCATCTGGCAGGTGTGCTACTGGCCAGTTCCGTATTATAGTATGCAGTAAATTTATGTTCTTTTTCTTGTGTAGGCACTTCAGCAGCAGCAGCAGCAGTCAGACCAGGACATTTTAGGAACTGACAGTCAGGGAATTGGAGAGAAAATTCTAAATGAGATTCAGAGTTTGTTACACAAAACAAAGGTGAGAAATTTGTTTATGTGGTAAAAATGAATTGACATTGTTAGAAACCGCATTCATTGCAGAGCCTTTTGAATGGTTTCTTCTTCTTCTGCATGTGACCTTTGACAGTTGTGGTTTACAGATAGAATGTGATATCTACATATTTTTCCCCCGAGACAAGTTGTCGGCAGTTCCTTAGTCACTTTTTATGACATGTATTTTACAGAGCAGTGAATATGTTTTTTTCTAAAAATAAAATGAGGCCATGGAACCCACAGAGGGAATTAGAATTGATGAGAGAGTTGATATAATATTCATCAAATATTTGGGAACAGGTGAGAAAGCAATTATTAAGCACACACATAGAACAAATTAGGATATTTGAGGTTAGTTAGAATTTTAAAATAATCATCATTCATCATCACATTTTTTGAATAAATAATGGAGTGAATGAGAATGTTGATAAAACTGATAATAGGTGTAGAACTGATTTAGAGAGACTAGGAGTTTGTTTTAATGTAGTGTATTTTATTGAAATGTTTCAATATTGTTTAAATATACACTATTTGTGATTTGATGATAATAGCATGTTTTTTTATGCTTGTTTCAGGGCACAGAGAATGACTCTAAAAATTTGCAGCACAAACAGGAATCGTTCATCATTCGTTTTAGTGATAGTCAGAAAATTTCAGGTAATACCATCTTTGTTTGTTTGTGTTTTTTCCCCCCTGCTTTCTGTTTTTCTCTCTCTTTCTAAACACCAGGGTTTAATGTTACAAACTGCAGGACTTTTACATTTTAAATATTAGTTAGTTAGTTAGTTAGTTAGTTGGGTTATAATCATTGCACTCCAGACATGTCTATTTTAGATATATAGACAGCAAAACCTAAAGGTACGAATAAATAAGCTTAAGTATTTCAATTTTTCATGCTTGCTAGCCTTCATCATTTCCCTCCAGTGTATAATTTTTATAAGAGAGTTGGGTCTTTTAGTTGGTTTCTGTGACTCAAAGGTTACAAATATGGTTGTAATTCTGAGATGTCTAGTTTGATTCCAGTAGTGGGTCTATGGCTGCAGACCGCTATAATTTATTTCAGCAGGTGTACTGAGAGCTGACCATTCAGTAGTTGATGACACTGAGAGCTGACCATTCAGTAGGTGATGACACTGAGAGCTGACCATTCAGTAGTTGATGACACTGAGAGCTGACCATTCAGTAGTTGATGACACTGAGAGCTGACCATTCAGTAGTTGATGACACTGAGAGCTGACCATTCAGTAGGTGATGACACTGAGAGCTGACCATTCAGTAGTTGATGACACTGAGAGCTGACCATTCAGTAGGTGATGACACTGAGAGCTGACCATTAAGTAGGTGGTGACAAACTCATCATGTAGCAGGTTCTTTGCAGAACATTGCTCTTATCACAGTCTGCCTGAAAGAAACTCCCTCTCTCGCCAGCTTTCCCGCCTGATGTACTTTCATATTCAAGGAGTCACTTATATCCTGTGCCCATCTTTATGTTGGTCAGCCCCTGCTTTCTGGTACCATACCTTCTGCAATTATTTGCTCTAAAAGCTTGATATGACAAACTACTGGAGATATTTGTTTCGTAAAACCATAAAAGCTAACAAATGCTGGGACTTGTTTATGACGTGTACAGGAAACACAACTAACTTTTTAATGTCTTTGAATATGACCGAAATATTTCCCTCTTTTTCTTTTTGATTTTCTTCAGCAGCTTTAAACAAAAAAAAATCCTTAGTCTCTTCAGAACCTGTGGTAGTTTTTGTTTATAGGATAAATGAAGCAACCAATAAATTGCATGAGGGTGTGCCAGTCAGAGGGAGTAAATTGTGTTATTAACGTTGTATTATTTTGTTTGTTCTCCTCCAGCGCAGCTACAGCAACTGGCACAAATGCCGATTTCAGCAGAAAAGACACAGAAAGAAGTACAGCTCAGAGCTCAGAAAGATCACATTGACCTACAGCTGGCGATGTTAGCCCAAGAACTTTTGCAGCTGCGGATAGTAAGTTTCTTTGAGCATTTTCAGTCTTCAGAACATGCCGGTTGCCGAATCATAATGAGGCATTTCTGCAGAAGTATATGAAAAGCACAAATTGATTAGAGAAATTAGATGTAAACCATTGAAATAATTTATGTTATGTTATGAGGGTCCTGTGTTCTTGATAACATCCTAGGAAGTAATGGTGGCTGGCGTGATGTTGACCCCATCACCCACAGAGTGCCGATTGATCTGTACAAATTACCAGCATCATTTGATAGATGCGCCAATGGTTTAAATAATTACTGTAATTACTGTTTTGTGACATGAAATACAATTCTGTAAGGACCCTTTTCAATACCTGGGGTAACGTCTGACCTATATTTTATAGACCTGTCAGCACTCGGTGGCTGATGGGATCAGCATTAGCTCGGCTGTCACTACTTACCAACACTTCGCCTGATGTCCACTTAAGGCTGGGTCGACCTGGCTCCATGCCACTTCAAACCCATGACTTTGGGCCTGCTGATGAGCATATAGCCCTGATGCCATGATGGCTCCCTTTTATCCGTGTCCCCCCCCCCCCCCTTTTCAAAATATGTTTTAAAATCTGGCTATTTTAATAGCAGCTTCCATATTTTTTTGTGTGCCTACAAGACCTTGGTGCATAAGTGATTTAGTTTGTGGGATTGAAAGAGTTATATGCTCAAGTTCTGGGATTGAAAGAGTTATAAAACATTACATTTTACTTCAAGAATGGTACTACAGGCGAAGACTTGGGACCAGACGAAGCTGTCAAAATAAAAATACACACAGCAAGAAGAGCTCTCACAGAACTAAGAAATCTGGAAATCAACAAAAATTAAATCCTCTCTCAAACAGACTTAAACTCAGTGCTGGTGTAAACAGGAAATACGACGTAGACAGTTACTGATAAACTGTTCCTCCCCATGATGGAGAGCAGCATAATTGGCTGATGATGATGATGAAATAAACTACGCATATTTCATTAACTAGTGTCTGCACAAAATTGAACATATAAACTTGTATGACAACCAACAGTATAGAGTTTTAGGAGCTGAGTTTAAAGAACCGACATCACAGCACTTGGGGCATTCCCCTATGTGCTCTTTTCTCATCATCAGTAGTCAGCAAAGATTGGAGACTGTCAGAAGCCAGAAGGAGGATGGCAGTATCAATGCAAAAAGTTCAACAGCATTAAGAGTGTATGGTTAAACACCTGCAAGGAAACAAGGTCAAAACAAGGTCAACATTTTGAGGGCATGCGTCTTCTATGTAGCAACGTGCAGATGTGAGTCTTGGACTGTCTTGTCCTCGTTAAGAAAATTAATGGAGGCTTTGAGCTGAAATGCTATAGAAAGATTATCAGAATACGGTGCACCAAGAAGAAAAGAAATTCAGACATCCTAGATCTGAACATCAAGGAAGACTGGCTAGTAAACAGTTTCTTGTTTCAGAAACTGAAATATTTTGGCCATATTGGATTGGAAAGAATAGTAACAGAAGGCATCGTATGGTGCCATTAAAGAGAGGCAGGGCTGACCGGCAGGAAGATAGGTACAGGATGTAAGTAATACCTTGGGTGCACAGGGCAGGAAATCTGGTGAGAGATCAAGCTTCTTTCAGGCAGTTTATGATGAGACCGATGTTTTGCAAAGGCTCTACCACATGATGGTGACTGTACAGTTTCAAACTTAAGACTTTCAGGCTGGCATGTAAACACTTAACAACAAGGCTACTGCAGTGCCTAGTTTTTGATGTTTTCTCTTTGTTTAATGTTAGTTCGCCAACAGAAAGTTAAATACCCTCTTGATGTTTGCAGGATCTGGCGAGGAAATACGAGGAGACAATCATTGGTCTTCAGGAGCTGCAGAAGGAGATTCTTGACAATGAGTTGATATCATGGAAACGAAGGCAGCAGTTGGCTGGCAATGGACTTATTATGACTAATTCTAGTTTAGAGACACTACAGCAATGGTAGGTCTGTTTGTATGGAACTCTTCATAGATAGAAAACTGTTTATTCAGTTCTCGTTATGCATAGTGACACATGAGGTTTCAGGGAGGACTCTATGCTTTCCTGTCCTGTGCAGTCTTCAGAGCAGTTTTCCATGTCAGAGATGCAGCACTCAGTTCACTTTCCATAATTCATCTCCATGTTTTTTTGGGGCGCTCCTTCTTTCTCTTTCGCCTCTGGTGTCCAAGTGAGAGCTGTTTTGGCAGCTATATCAGGATTCATTCTCATGATGTGGCCAAGCCATTTCCATATTCTCTTTGTTTTCATACTGTCTAGTTTCTTAGCAGAGTTACTTCAGACTCTTTATTATTCTTAAGATTTTCCTTTGTTAGTTCCCATTATAGGGGAAGCACAAGAATAGACCCACTGCCTTCCTAATTAGCATCTTGTAAGTAATTAGGGTCTCCTTCATACGTGAGTTGCATTTGCCTGAAAGGCAAGAAACCAACAGTCTGCACACAAATAAACCAGTCTGTACAATGGGTGTGCATGTAAACTCAAGTCCAGGAATAAGATAAAAGTCCAGAAGTGGACAAACAACCAGAACTTTCTGCCAGAGTTTACAGTAAGTGAAGGTGAAGAATTTACGATTGGATAACTGAGATCAGTGTGGTGAAGAGTGAACTGGCCAAGCAGTCAAGAACACAGCTGTTATCTGGGAAAACAAGGTTTGTATTCTTTATAAGGTTGTGGATTTTTGTCTGTTGAGGGCAAAAACAAAATCCTAATGTGCATAATCCATGGCGACTGCCATGCTACCCTCAAATCCTCAACCCCCCCCCCCCTCCCCCCCCTCCCTTCCCTAAAGTGGTAAATGTAGGCAATAAAGACAAATCCATACATTGTACATTATTCTGTTTTTCACCTCCCAGTAGAGCATAGATCCTCAGCTTTTATAGACTTGTTTATGGCTTGGCAGTTTTGCAGCTGAAATTGCGAAGGTATGGAGGAACCATTTACAACATCTTTTCTCAATTGCCTTTTATGACATCCTTGGTGTGCCCCAGTTCTGCAGGAGTTTCCAACCTGTGAACGTGAAGAAGACTATTCATTTTTTTTTCACTAGGAAACAACACGTGAGTGATGTAAACATTTCATTTTGATTCAACAAAGCATCAGCCAAATAGTTTAGTTGCGTCATTGTTTCTGGGCTGTGGTGATCTCTTTGGCAACACTGAGCGAGTCGGTAACTGATTTCTGTTAGGACCTTTTCAGATTACAACACTGAAATAATCTGAGTTGCCACTGTATCTTCCTGGCAAAATGTGGGAACGACACCTTATACTTCTTCTGCCTTTCTATCCCCCAATGGAGCATAGGCCCTCAACCAGTTCACGCCAAGTCGTTCTATCCTTTGCCATTACATGGAGCCATTACACCATTTACTAGATTCATCGAGAAACAACAGATCAAATGATTTGGCCATCTCGTTGGAATGCAGCAGCATCAGATACCATCAGAGGCACTGCATCTCAGAAGATCAACTACAAGAGCAAGAGGGCGGCAACGTAAAATATGGATCGACAACATTAAAGACACTTTACTCCTTTACAGCATGACAATAGCCAGTGCCAACCAGCATGCACTAGATCGAAAAATTTTCCTCCCCACAATGCTTAAAAGCAGAAATTGATTTTTTATGATGATGAAATGGAACAGCTCATGTCAACTTTGTTAAACTGTGGGGTTTTGGTGACTAGAGAGTGTTCTATAAAATTTTTGCCCAAATTCCATAGGCCAGGTTTTTTGTATACAAAATGTAGTCAAACAGCCACAGAGTATTCGTAACTACTTGCTGTGATATGTCTCTGCAGGTGTGAATCTCTTGCTGATTTGATATGGCAGAACAGGCAGCAGATAAAGAAGTCGACACAGCTTCAACAGCAGCTGCCCATTAAATTTCCCGACAATAAGGAGGATTTGTTACCGAAGCTGAACGATACAATCACTGGACTTCTGTCTTCCCTAGTTACCAGGTTTGTGTCAGTTTCGTTAATTTTTCACAAGTTGTGTTTTTTTAAGTTTTAATATAGATAACCTGGGTCAAAGTTCAACTTAAATTAGATCTTTCAGTCCCAAGGGATATGGTATCAGAGCTCCAAGTGGTAGTAAAGAGAGACAAAAAAAATCAGCACATCTTGCGTTGATTGGGCTTCTAGATAAGAACCGTTGAACGTATGATATTTGCCTTGGGACTGAAAGAGTTAATGTAATATACATGGAGTAGCAGTTGCCAGTTGTTAACTGGCTGGCCTAACCATTTTGAGTTTGAATCCACATTGTGGCAGATTTGTATATAATTGAACTGAGCTCACAGGTCATCCTAGTCTAGTAGTGCTAGTAGATTAAATCTCCTGGGCAGTAAGAATGGCAGATGTGATGTTGACCAAATCTCCCATTTAGTGCTGATTGGTCTGTAAAATTGAATTTAGTGCATATGCACCAATGGCAAGAAAAGATTTTTTTTTAAAAACTATAATTAACAAAAATTTCAACTGTATATAACGTATTTAAAAAGGGTTAACACAGGACAAGTTGCAACATAAAGAAGTATAGGTTGTGTGTGTTTAATGACTGAATTTATGAAAATATTGCTATTCCTATTTTTTTTATCATCATCATCTGTGGGGGGGGGGGGGGGGCAAAACAAATAGTGTTATAGTTTGTCCCATTTGGGTGTTGGAAATTTCCACCGTAGTGCTTTCGGCAATCGTGGGTACATTTTATTTATGTTGTTAAAGACCTTGTTTAGTTTCAGAAGTGTAATGTTATTAATGTTGTTGATGATTGAAACCTGAAGCTCGTTGATTGTGTGTGTAATTTGTTCATACACTTTTCCTTTAAGTGCACCCAAACATCGGTATATAGCAAGGATATTCTAAACTAATGGTTACGTGGCACTGAAAACATGACATGCTAGACACATTTATTTACTGTGCACAAATAATTGATTTGAAAAAGTCTACATTTATTAAACATACACCCTATAAAATTCACTAACAATTATAAATGTGCAAAACCAAAGGGAAAAACAACTGAATGCGCCCAATTATTCTGTCTTTTATTTACATGTACTGCTCACTCCGTGTCCTCACCTTACTAACCAGTCTCTAATTTTCTTCTCCGTGTGGCTTTTGATCTCCCTTTATTTGTTTGAAGCTGTGAGCAAGGTTATTTTCATTATTTTATTATCAGCATTTTTTTCATTGTGTGTCCTATCCTGTGCCAGTATCTTATCCTCACCTTTTGATTAACTTTAATTTGTTTAGTTCTCTCTCTAAGCTCCATATTAGTGTTTTTTGTTATATCATTCAATTCCTTAGGCCTGTCTTTTTATCTGTGTGTTTATCTGTCTATATGCGCACACAACACACAAAGATGATACTTACCTGGCACAGGTAATTAACCTTTAGGATGAAATTTGTTGTTATTTGAAGCCCCACCCTGGCTTTTGCCAGGGGCCGCAATATAGGCAGGCCATAAATATGGCCAATTGTCTGAACGCGGTTTCTGGGACCTCTCTACGGTGATTCTCATCCACATGGTGGCACTTTGTGTCATCGGGTGTTTATCGCTTGTGATGTCCTAGTGGGGTAGAAAGTCAGTCAGTCAGACAAAGATGAATAATTAGATACATCTTAACTTTCTTGCAGCACATTTATCGTTGAGCAGCAGCCCCCACAGGTGCTAAAGAAGGATGCTAGGTTTGGTGCAGTTGTCCGCTTGTTAGTCGGAGGAAAGCTTAATGTCCATATGAACCCACCACAGGTCAAGGCCACAATAATCAGGTATGTACCTTTCTGCAAAATTTATTTTTTGATTTCTATTTTTAAGTTCATTGGGTATTTTGCTGAAAGCAGTTTAAAGGGTGACACAACTGAAAGGTGTTGACCTGTGACTTAGGAGTATCCTGTATATCAAGCTTAGTGTCATGATTTTGCGGTGAATTCACTATGGTATTAGTTTCTGTGATTTGGGGACTATGAACATAGCTTCACAAGTCCGCTGCAGGCAATTTCTTCTTCTCCCTCTTCTTCGCTTTCACTATCTGTAAACTTTTGTGGAAAGTTCTGGTTATTTGTCAGTTCCTGGACTTTGGTCGCAATCCAGAACTTGCATTTTATGTGCACATCCGTTTTACAAATCTGGCTTATTTGTATGAAGACTATTGGTTCCTTGCCTCTCAGGCAGATGTACTCTGACTTTAAAAGAAAACACCCTTAATTAGTGACGACATAAAATTAAAAGCGAATTTATAACAGACTGCATTGTGTTCAGCAACAATATGAATGTTAAACCGTTCAGAAAACAATTACAAATTACTGAAAGCAAAATTAGTAATACCCCACAAGTACCATTAAGTGCTGGAGTTGGTTATAAGTAAATGTAAAGGTTTAGGTTTAGACGATGGATCAACATCATGGTACAAGGGTAGTAACCCATAAGTGCTCCGTTTTACTTCTGACTCAGGCCCGATTCTGAAGAATCTCAGCGCAGTGCGCGAACTCCATAGCACTGGTGAGGATCATGAAATACTGTGGTTGATTTTTAACTCCAAATTTTGCTTGGCCAGTGCCATTATTTCTATTTCCAACAGCCAAGATTTTTTTTTTTACGTGTGCAAAAATACACACGGGCATTTCATCTTACTACCCAGTCACCAGTAGAAATTACTAGAAGTCCATATGAAAAATCCCAGCCTTCACCGAGACTTGATTCCGGGACCCCATGCCTCGAGACCATGCAGCCCCTGAAAATATAAAGGATATGCGTCTAAAAAACTGGCACGCAGGTTATTTAACTAATGGCAATTAGTTTCGTAAAAGCAAAAGACAAAAATTATGTTTCAAAGTTATGGGTTGTTTATATTTTAATCTGATTTATTTAAACATAATTTTATACGGTTTTTGTGTGTTGGCATTTACTTACAGTGAAAACCAAGCCAAAGATTTGCTGCGTAATGATGTGAAAGCTAAAAATGATACAAGTGGAGAGATCCTGAACAACAACGGGACAATGGAGTATCAGTCCAGCACAGGACAGCTCAGCATCAATTTCAGGAATATGGTAAGGGATGCTTCGGTCTGTGGTATAGCAGTAGGTGGCTATCTCACTTACTAGTAGAGTGGTTGAGAGGGCAGGTCTGTGTAGCAAAGTGGTTAAGCTGTTTTCCTTGTGCTCTGAGGGTTGTGGGTTTGTTTCACGCGCATGTTCTTCTTCTTTCTTCGTTCACTGACTGTAAAGCTGGGGCGGAATATCCTGATTGTTTGTCACTTTGGTTTTGTGCCGGGGCCTGAGTTTTGCATGTACATCCATTTTACTGGCTTATTTGTGTGCCTTGTCGCACGGGCAGATGCACTCCGACTTTGAAGGAAGCTCCCAGTTAAGTCTACACCTATGACATGCTTGTTGTGGAAGCAGTGGGTCTAATTTTGTTTCCCCACATGGGGTCCTAGAACCCACACAGGGAATGGACACATTCAGTCCACATTCACTTTTTTTAAAATGGAAATCTCAGGGGATTATTTCTAGAGGTACAGTGCTTTGTGCATCTCTATCGACAGGCGGCTAGCTGTTCTTCCCAGGGACTTAGCCACATGGGAGAACCCGGTGTAATGAAATCAGTCCTTGAGACTTTAACTGTGAAGTTGTTGGGACTACGTTCCCATGAAATGTGACCCTTACTTTGACCTCTTGGCTCTCCCTAGTAGAGAGTGGGGCTGACCTAGCTGCCATACCTGCTGGCTGGTGATACATTTTAAAACATTTGAACTGGGTTAGTTCCATTTTGTTTTAGACTAATCAGTGTGTGATAGTTATTATGGCAGATATCACAATGGCACTTTTTATTTACCATGACATTTCTGACCAAACCATTTGATTCTTTTATGTTCTGTTAAATCATTTACTGGTTGTGTCCCTACCATTGTTCTCATTCTTCATTTGTGACTCTGACTCCTCTTTTTTCCTTGCTCATTAAGAAGTTGTAATTAACATACCTATACCGGCTGCAACATTTGCTCACCTGCTGGAAAAATTAAGTCGGGATGTTGATTAACAGTTTATTGGTAACCTCTCTTACCTGGGTCTACACACCTGGGCCTGCCGGAGTAAGGTGTAATGAATGGGTGGACTAACTAGCAAGTAATGCACCATTGCATGCTGGCAGACATATGACAGAGCTGATATCAACACTGTACCAACTGGGGGTTGCATGCTGGCAGACATATGGCAGAGCTGATATCAACACTGTACCAACTGGGGGTGTGCAATGATGAGTCTTAGATGCTAACCCAGTTATATGGCCTGGGAGTAAAGCCTGATGAAGTCCATCTATGCCATCTTCGAGGTCAAGATATAAAACAAAGCCAGGTTCTTCTGAGAACAATCGGTAGAGGTACCTTGTGCTAGCTGCTGCATCATAGGCCTGAGGATGCATGGGAATGCATAATGTTCAGTGATGTCGATTGTGATAACATAGAACAGTTTATCCGCATATCACTACATTTATTTTAATGGGAATTGCTTCTTTTCATAGATTAACTTTTTATTTTAATTTTACAGCAACTCAAGAAGATCAAGAGAGCAGACAAGAAAGGGTCAGAGGTACATTTATGTTGATGATTCATTTTATCTTAATCCTACATTTTACAAAAACAATTTTTACAGATCTCATCTATGAGTTTTTTCTCTCATTTAGGTATATTATATTTGACTGGTTTTCTCTTGCGAACTGCTAACTGAAAGTCTTTTAGGCCTTATAGTATTATCTTCATGTTTAACATACTTCACTCTTCTGGATATAAGATCTGTGACTAGTTGCATTTATTTGTTCACGGGAATTTGCTCAGGAATTCTGGAGGAATTTGAAGAAAAAGCACAATTCAAATAGTGCTCACATCACACACACGACAAAAAAACCCAGTTTTCAAAAGCAAGCGAACGACAACAAACGAGCACCATCGACAAACATTAGGCTACCAGTGCCAAACATGGTCACCATCTAAAGCCCATATATGCAAAATCACAACCTGCGAGATGAGATGCCTGAGAAAAGCAACCAACCTAACAATCCAAGATCGAGTGAACAATTAAACTATCAGGCAAATTGTGGGAATGACACCTTGTACTAGATTCATCGAGAAACAGCAAATCAGGTGGTTTCTCAGAAGATCAGCTATAAGAGCAAGAGAACGGCCCCGGAAAACATGGATCGATAACATTAAAGACAATCTACGCCTTCACGGCATGACAATAGCCAGTGGCAGCCAACATGCACTAGATCGCAAATTATTCCTCCCCACGACGCTTAATGGGAGAAGTGGTTTATGATGATGATGATTAATAGTTGTGTGCCAGATTTTGCCTTTGGCCTGAATTCTTTTAGTTGTTCATAACAAAACAATTTTTCCTGTGAATCTGTTTATAAAACTGTAGTGAGATTATTCTCCCTTGCTTTTTAGAGCTTCCAGTTTTTAACAGGATGCTTATTGTTAAGCTTGTCAGCAGTACTGCATATTGTGATAAGATACTCTAGTCTAAATACAAATTTGACAGCAACAACCTGTACAAGAAATTTGAACTAATTCTCTTTGTTTACAGGCTGTGACCGAGGAGAAGTTCTGCATTTTGTTCCAGTCAGAGTTTAGTGTGGGTGGAAATGAATTAGTCTTTCAAGTCTGGGTAAGTTCACAACAGTTGTGAATATAGTCCAAGAGGAAGGCAAACAATAGTTGTGCAGTTAGTTAATGATTGCAGTCAGAATTGTTTCCTTCTCCTTTTGCTACTGCTGCCTCAAATCTTCTTTTGAGGCATTAACTTTCAGTCAGTTTATGCCTAGTTCTCCTGTCTTGTTAGCTGTTAGTTAAGACTTTGATACAGTCAGTAGAGGAGAACTGTGGAAAATCATAGCTAAATTTGACTGTCCTTAGATGTTTATCAGGATTGTACAGTGGTTCCATGAAGATATGCAGGCATGGCGCATCAGCCTGCCAGGCAGTGGAAGTTGCACAGGCAGAGAAACGAAGGCAAACTAGAAAGAACTGTATTGCTAATCCCACACTTACTGCGGCCTCCACCTGTTGTCCGCACTGCTCAAGAACTTTCCAGCCTCTTATTGTACTAATCAGCCACCTTCGTACTCATAATCATTGATCATTGCTACTTTGGATGGAAAGGGGTCTTCATCACTCATGATTGACGTACAACAACATAGTTAAGTCAGAAAGAGCACACTACAACAAGTAGGAGCCAGGTTGGCGCAGCCGATAGGAGGCTCGCTTTCAAATCCAGCTGTGACTCGCTGCAGCCACGGTCGGTGTTCGAAACCGGGCGGTTTCAGGGGTTCACCCAGCCTCTAGGAAATGGGTACCAGAGTGACACTCTGGGGTAAATGGAGGAACGTCGCTGTAGCTACAGAGTTGCATGTGAACGGCGCACAGGCGGACAGTTTCTTATCAGCTGTCGGTACTGGTGGCAGAGCACTTATGGTTTATAACCGTGTGCAATGACGCTGGTTCACATCTCCCGACTTTACCTTTTACCTTTGAACACAAGAGTTGAATGGAAGTAGACAGTGACATACCAAAAAAGATGCTGGAGACATACAGGAGGGATACAAAAACTTGGAGTCACTAACTGAAAAGAGAAGGCCAGTCACAGAGATGAATGAAGGCGGCTCATATCTGCAGCAGTGAACTTCAATGGCTGGGAATATTAAAAAAAGAAGAAAAAATAGGGCAGCTCAGTGTTCTAAAATGACAACTAAGGATATATCTTTGAAAATAGAAATGCAGAGAACTGGGGACTTCGCTTCCCTATGTAGTCACTTTGTATACAGGTAAAGTCTGTCTGTGGCTTAGAGGCTTGAGAATGTGGTTAACAGTTTCATGATCCTTGAGTACTAGGGTTCGTTCCCCATGGTGGACAGTTTAAAAAAAAAAAAAACAGTCCTCGTGGTTTTTGGACAATGGTACTAAAGTATGGAGAGATTGGGGTATCACCAAACATTTCCAAAGAAAACAGTGAGACACTGTAGCCAACCTTCATTGTGGGGATGGGATATACATGTTTTTTTTAAAAGTCTGAACACTTCACATTCTAAATTATCATGAGGTTACATGTTTACTAAGGACATGTTGTTTCCACAGACTCTGTTTAAAAGTCTAAACACTTCACATTCTAAATTATCATGAGGTTACATGTTTACTAAGGACATGTTGTTTCCACAGACTCTGTTTAAAAGTCTGAATACTTCACATTCTAAATTATCATGAGGTTACATGTTTAACAAGGACATGTTGTTGTTTCCACAGACTCTGTTTAAAAGTCTGAATACTTCACATTCTAAATTATCACGAGGTTACCTGTTTAACAAGGACATGTTGTTGTTTCCACAGACTCTGTTGAAAAGTCTGAACACTTCACATTCTAAACTATCACGAGGTTACCTGTTTAACAAGGACATGTTTTTGTTTCCACAGACTCTGTTAAAAAGTCTGAACACTTCACATTCTAAATTATCATGAGGTTAGCTGTTTAACAAGGACATGTTTTTGTTTCCACAGACTCTGTCCTTGCCTGTGGTGGTAACTGTCCATGGCAACCAGGAATGTAACGCCACAGCCACAGTTCTCTGGGACAACGCCTTTGCTGAACCTGTAAGTTTTTAATTGGTCGATGGACCATTCTCTCTGCACATGAAATCATTCAGTCCATAAGAGCTCAGATCCCCTCAGCATGTATCCTTCAGTGTGTAGCAACTTTACCTGTTCTGTGTTTGTTTCTGCCTTTCTTGGCCTCTTTCATAGCGCTGTTTTATTATTGTTGTGGACACCTTTCTGTCTTTTTAGACTATTGTTGTTTTGAACTGTAGTGAGGCATGGGAACCAGGGCCCATGGCGTTGGCAACAATGACCAGCAAAGACCCGCTTGCATTCCTCCTCTCCCTAGCACAAAGCCTGGGCAGTATTGTATGTTGCCATGTGTTACAGCATGATTCCTCTTTCAGTCTGCCTTGTTAGCTGCAGAGGAAAGGTAAAATCAGTATGTACGGAACAGAGCATGCTGCTGATGCTGCCTGACCAGAAGAGCAGTGTTCTGTCCACCTGTCAGAGCTTCACTTAAAGACAAGTTGCCAGGGCTAAGGGCTTGGTTGAGATTATTGTACTTACAAACTAACAACCTTTTATGCTGCATTATTTACATTTTTTTTTTAATACTATGTTCTTCTGGGTAAGCAGGTTTTCCATAGTATTTCTGCAGTGCTGTGTAAAACTATAATTATGACCACTCACCTGGTCACTAATTCTGCTTTGAGAATCACTGATCTTCTTCTTCCTCTTCGCATTCACGGGCGGTAAACTCCAGTAGAAAATTCTGATTGTTCATCCACTTCTGAACTTTGGTCTTGTTCCAGAGCTTGAGTTTTGCATGCACATCCCCGTTTTACAAATTAGGCTTTTTTAAATGCAGACTGTTGGTTGCTTGCCTATCAGGCAAATGCAATCTGACTGTGAAGGACATACCCCTAATTAGTTAAACTTTTGTAATGTGTTTGTTAAAGGGCCAGTGGGTCTGTTCTTTTCTCTTTTTTTCTCTGACAAGGGATCCTCAGAACCTACATATTTTGTTTAAACACAGATTATCTGTGATACTGCAAGAAAAGATACCATGAAGAATTTAGTAGTAAGTTTAAAAAACCCAGATTATCTGTGATACTGCAAGAAAAGATACCATGAAGAATTTTGTAGTCAGTTTAAAAAAAAAAATTAAAGAGACGCATCTCAAAATTATTCTACTAAAAAAATTATATAGTTATGTTTGAACATGCAAGTAAACTACTTCTACTACAGGTTATTTTTTGTAAATTGGGAACCTGTCTTAATTACAAATTTAGTTGTCTATCTCATAGTTAAGCAAATAAGATGTTTGAATTTAAGTAAAGTATTCACTTACATATCTTGTTATTGTGCAGGGTCGAGTGCCCTTCATGGTGCCAGACCAGGTGGAATGGAAGATGCTGGCCGATCAACTGAATATGAAGTTCATGTACCACACTGGCAAAGGGTTAAGTGAGACCAATCTAACATATATTGCATCCAAATTGTTTGGTAAGTTATAATTAGTTTTTATTTTATTTGTCATAATCATTTCACGGAAGTGTGTCACATTTGGTAAGAGACCTCTCTTGGTGTATGCTCTCTGTTCTTAGTGTTTGCCCAATTCTGGGCCTTAATTTTGTTCAAGAATATGAGTTTTGTGTGCACGACCATTTTACTGATTGTAGAGAGGCTTCTGCAGTATTAAGAAGAGCACTGCAAGTCATCTATGTAGAAACATACCTTGTGGACAGCAGTATTTTGCCGAAACTAAAAAATGAATTTTCATCTAGAATTTTGGCCAGACACCTCAAAAGTGATGTTAATCATTGGAACACCTCACAACGAATTAGCACCAATAGGACATCTCATGAGTGAGGAAACGTTTGACTTCTGCAACAGTAGACAGAGATATTTCTGCTCTGCTGCTCAGTTGAAATCTTTTTACAGATTATTGGGGGATGGGGGGGGGGGGATCTTTCTACATTGCAAATGAGCAAAAAATACTATAGAAATAATAAAAATGTTTAAAAAATTCCTAGTTGGCTATTCATTTGAGAAATGTTTTTTTTTTCTTAGGTAAAAAGGATCCCTCAACATGTATGGTGACTTGGGCACAGTTCAATAAGGTAAGGAAAGTTCAGTCAAATAAATAAATATTTCAGTATTGTAATGGGAGTTTAGAAAGGTCAGTATTTCAGTATAGTAAAATGAGTTTAGAAAGGTAAATAAATATTTCAAGCATGTTGTAAGAGGCAACTAATTAACAGTTTGCTGAAAACAGGTGTGTTGGACTGAAAGGTGTAGATATTAGGGCCTGATTAAACCACAACACAGTGTGCCAACCGTTCTTTAAAGGAGGGGCAATCGAAGAAATAGCAGTGAAAACGGCACACATGCTAGTGAAAAGTCAGATGTAAAGCATATTAAAAATCCTAACATAGGTTTCAGTTGAGGAATACTTGGATAATTATGGTTACAGATGGGACACACTACATATTAACATATTAAGTCCTCCCACACAATGTAAATATCTGCAGTATTTTCACCTAACGTATTTTCATTACTCTCTAACTATGTGGTGATAGAGGTTGTAGATATGGGGTATGCTTTTTTTTTTGCTTTAAAAGCTCTTTTTATGTTCTCACAGGATACCCTTTCTAACAGATCATTCACATTCTGGGAGTGGTTCTATGCCATCCAAAAACTCACAAAGGAACATCTGAAGGATCTGTGGACAGACGAGTAAGTACTTTCCATATTTGTAACCATTGTACTACTTTTCATTGTTTCTTTAGAAATTTTTACAGCTAGAAATGTAAGAATTCTTAGTTTCTTGGGTAGCCAGAATAAGTAACCTGGGTGTTTTGGAAGACACAAGGGCCCGAAGAAAACTTATAAACATAAGAAGGAGGTAGTCATTAATAAACATAAGAAGGAGGTAGTCATAAATAAACATAAGAAGGAGGCAGTCATAAATAAACATAAGAAGGAGGCAGTCATAAATAAACATAAGAAGGAGGTAGTCATAAATAAACATAAGAAGGAGGCAGTCATAAATAAACATAAGAAGGAGGCAGTCATAAATAAACATAAGAAGGAGGCAGTCATAAATAAACATAAGAAGGAGGTAGTCATAAATAAACATAAGAAGGAGGCAGTCATAAATAAACATAAGAAGGAGGTAGTCATAAATAAACATAAGAAGGAGGCAGTAATAAATAAACATAAGAAGGAGGCAGTCATAAATAGACATAAGAAGGAGGCAGTTATAAATAAACATAAGAAGGAGGCAGTCATAAATAAACATAAGAAGGAGGAAGTCATAAATAAACATAAGAAGGAGGCAGTCATAAATAAACATAAGAAGGAGGGCAGTCATAAAGTAAAAAATACATAAGAGGGGTAGTCATAAATAAAACATAAGAAGGGGGTAGTTATAAACACTAAGAAATAGGCAGTCATAAATAAACATAAGAAGGAGGTAGTCATAAATAAACATAAGAAGGAGGCCAGTCATAAATAAACATAAGAAGGAGGTAGTCATAAATAAACATAAGAAGGAGGTAGTCATAAATAAACATAAGAAGGAGGTAGTCATAAATAAAACATAAGAAGGAGGTAGTCATAAATAAACATAAGAAGGAGGTAGTCATAAATAAATATAGAAGGAGGTAGTCATAAATAAATACATAAGAAGGAGGTAGTCATAAATAAAACATAAGTAAGGAGGTAGTCATAAATAAACATAAGAAGGAGGCAGTCATAAATAAACATAAGAAGGAGGCAGTCATTAATAAACATAAGAAGGAGGCAGTCATAAATAAACATAAGAAGGAGACAGTCATAAATAAACAAAAGAAGGAGGTAGTCATAAATAAACAAAAGAAGGAGGCAGTCATAAATAAACAAAAGAAGGAGGTAGTCATAATCTTTGGGCCATTTTATGCCTAGAGTATAGAAACTGGGAGCAACACCATGTTAAGATTTCAGGAAAATTCTAAAGGGTGATTAATGCTGAGGCATAGCTTGTTCATAAAGGCATGGTTTGTTTGCCATTATAGCACACTGATACTTCCACAGATAATCATCTCCTCCTATCAATCACCTACTAGAGCTCTAGCCTCCTCCCATTGATCAAACCCAGGTACAAGACAATGGCCTTTTAATGTATGTTTTTTTTTTTTCAATGCACAACATTTGCATAATTTGCCATTGTTTCTGACTACTCATCCAATCCACTATTTTCTTTTTCTTGCTCGATTGCACCGTTTTCATTAAACCTACATTGCCACCTTCTTATTTCCAGTTTTTTGCAAATGCCTTTGCTATTTCCAAGGTACCCAGCTTTGGGCAGTTTGGCAGGCGACTACTTTGCATTTGTTTCAAAAAGAGTATGAAGGGCAGACTGTTAAGGAAGCAATGACAACATAAAATTGCCTTATGAAATCACAAAGAGCCAATGAATGCTTGGGTCTGCAATATCCTATAAAGGATTCACAACTGATGCCTTTTTAATAAATTTTAATATATTAATGTACATTTGCAGTGCAATTATTGGATTTGTCAGCAAGAATCAGGCTCAGGATTGGCTGAGCAAGCAGCCAATGGGAACATTTCTGCTGCGTTTTAGCGATTCTGAAATTGGGGGAATCACAATTGCTTGGACAGGTAAGCTGAATTAATTGCGATACAGATAAAAAGTCAGGTCGTGGGGTTATGGGGAATATTTTTCTAGAAATCATAGCTTGGTGGACATGTGTCAGATGCTGGGCACCTTAGCTTTCCCTGGAATTTTCTGGTAGTCATTTTAGGCTGGGTCGACCAAGAAAACAAGGTGCTTGAAAAAAATATTATTTGCCTCAGAAGGGATTTGAACACAACTAATAAGCCAGCAGTAGTTCAGTGGCCAGACCCTTTACTGAAGGTCTTGGATTCAAATCCACATAGCAGCAGATTGTTGTGATTGATCTTGGCAAAGATTTTTTTTCTTACGGTACACAGTTCCGGCACCTATTTTTGGGGTATAATTTTTTCCCCATTGCTACTACTGTAATAGTCAGTTTGTACTGAGTACCAGATTTACAATCAGACTGGTGCCATCAGCAAATGAACTTTTTGCTTGCTGCTTAAGATGGAGACGGAGCACTTATGCGAATGTTCCAAGTGCTGTGATGTCGATTCTTAATTCAAAATTCATACAGTTAACATAAAATATGTAATTCTAATTTGTTTCTTCTAAGTATGCTGCCTATGTTTACCTGTCATTGTGACTTGGTTAATTATATCATTTCTTTGAAATGTTTAAGCGATTCTGACTTTGCTTTCTAAAATTAACTTGACAGCACATTATGTTTGATTGCCAAGAAGGTCATTGTTGTTAAAACATCTACCTGACTATGTGGGATTTTATTCTTGTAAAGCTGACTTTTCAACTGCATTTTTTGTGTGTGTATTTGTGACTTATTATAATTTATATGTGAGGACTGGCTGGCCGAGCGGTTCCAACATCGGGTTCTAATGTGAAAGACCGAGATTCGACCCCCGGTAAAGTGATGGAGTTTTTCTGTTGGGGCAGAATGAAACATCCTAACCTGCATAGTCCATAGCGACAACACCAGCCATGCTTCCCTAAATCCTCACAACCTCCTGAGTACACCACCCTAAAAAGTGGTAAATAAGATAGTAGTGACAGTATAAATATGTGTATATGTACATACAAACATACGTATATACTGTATGTTTTATATATTGATCTCCTAGGAGAAAGAAAAGAAGTATGGAATTTGGCACCATTCACCGCTAAAGACTTTCACATTCGGGGACTTGCTGACCGAATTAAAGATTTGACCAGTCTGGTGACCTTGTACCCCAACAAACACAAGGACCAGGTGTTCTCCAAGTACTACACATCTGCTGCTGGTGAGTCTGGGGCAGAGGTGGGCATGCTCTAGCTGACTGACCACTTATAGTGTAACACTGAGGGTTTGTCATGTGTCACTGCCTGACTGTGATGATGTTACACTGGTGGTTTTGTAATATGACAATGATGATTTGTAATGTGACACTGACTATTTTTCATGTAGCACTGACCATTTGTAATGTGACACTGACCATTTGTAATGTGACACTGACCATTTGTAATGTGACACTGGCTGTTTGTAATGTGACAGTACCTGACTGTAATGTGGCACTGCAGCTGGTAATGTGACACTGGCTGCTTGTAAAGTGACACAAATAGTTTGTAAAGTGATGCTGACTGACTGTCTTAAATATATTGTCATGTCACATGCTGTAATGTAGCATGCCATTTCTAGTAACCTTGTCTGTTTTTTCTTTCGTCACTATTTGCTTTGTGCCTCTAGGTGTCACAGTTCAACAGATGATAGGTAGCCGAGCTAGAGTGGTGCACTCAGTTGCTATGATATTGTAAAGTCATAAGCTGTCAGTAACTCCTTCAGTCCATATTCTTCTAGATCTCCCTCTGCAACGTAGTATTCTCTTGTATACTATCGCTGCTGACATGGTTGGATTCATTCTCATTAAGTGACTGAAACATTTGAGTCCTTATTTCTCAAATTGCAATTATTCTGTAAACAGGACGACTAACTGGGGATTTTCCTTTGAAGTCAAAGTGTATCTGCCTGAGAGATAAAGGAACCACAGTCTGCATACAGATAAGCCAGATCTTGTAAACCGGATGCACATGCAAAACAAAGTTCTGAAACAAGACCAAAGTCCAGATGTGAATGAACAACAGAAATTGCAGCTAGAGTTTACAGTTGGTGAACATTTCTTCTTCTCCTTCTTCTTCTTGTTCACCGGCTGTGAATTCCGGCGGTAAGTCACGGTTGTTCGTCCAAAATAGACTTTTGGCTTTTACCTTGACCTGAGTTTTGCGTGTACATCCGTTTTACTGGCTTATTTGTTTGCAGTACTCGTTCCCCACCTCTCAGGCAGATGTACTCCGACTTCGGAGGAAGACGTCAAGCCTATTTCTAGGTTGACTGTGGCCATTGTTTTGTGTGGGTCGAGATGTTGCCTTATTTGTGTGGTGTCCTCTTTGACTTTTAACAAGTGTGGCCCCCGGCATGTCGTCCTTAAGGCAGCTTTATGTAGAGTTTTCAGCCATCAAGGGAAGGCAGGGGCAGATCATGGGCATTCCCCGCCATCCAAGGAGGCTTCCATAAATGCAAAGCCGACACATGATGCTCTGGTTCTGGGCTCACCCAAGGAATCGTCACGTCCTGCCCATGACTGCTTAACCTCACAACCGTGTATTGAGCTTCCCGCGCTACAAGGCTGTGCTCTCCGGAGATCAGCGGGGAGCAGCCCGCAGGTCTAGGACGTTTGTGGCCACACAAATAGGTACATTCTTTTTCATCTTACGTTAGACACCTTTAACGTTGTTTCAGCTGTGCCCTTAGCACGACAGAATGGGGAAGCAAAATGCGTCAGGCGTGGCTTCACCTGTTTGGTCCCAACACTCGGGCGAGTTGGACCAGTGGATACGGACATTCAGACTTTTCCTAATCGGTACGAGTTATGATCGTCGGACTTTGAGCTTGCATGTGTGCCGTGGGGTGTAACTTTGTCGGACATTGTTTTCAAGCCAGCATATGAATAGTTGCTGCCATGGTATACCTCAGCGCGGTGACGACGACACTGAGGATTGACAGAGGATGTACGTAGGTGGGATCTTGCTGCATAACATGGATAGGTTTTTGTGTAAATAGGCAGGCTGTAGTGAGGTATAGACCAATTGCAATGTGATAGAAATGTTGTAATGTGACTGTCACATATTTCATAATGAAGATATGTCAATTTGTGACAGTGGTACTAGATTGTTATAGCATTTTATTGTCTGATACAAGCAGATTTTAAAAAAAAATAAGATTGGCTTTGTTAAAATGTCATGTCCCTGTGGTGCTGTGTGACTGAATTTGTGTATAGTGTGTCACTCGCAAATATTAAGCGGAAATAATTTGTAGTACTTTTCAGGTACTTAATCTCAATGACAACCTGTGTTTGATTTTTATTTACAGAAAATGTCAGTAATGATGGCTACATTCGACCTCAGTTGCGAACAACCATTCCAGAGTATGTGTGCTTGATTTTATTTTTCAGTTTAATATTTCTCTGACCTTGTCAGTGATTATCCACTGAAGTCAGAGTACATCTTCCCGAAAGGCAGTAAAGAATCTCTGCACACAAATAAGCCAGTTCATTGGATGTACACGCAAATCTCAGGTCCTGGTACAAAGACAAGGTCCAAAAGGACGAACAACCAGGACTTTCTGCTGGAATTCACAGCTGGTGAACAAAGAAGAAGAGGAGAAGTCAGTGATTCCAGACAGATTTCATTTATACTTAACCTATCCTCAGTCATTTGGTTGGTTACTGGCTGTAACTACTGGCTTTCTATTACTGGCTCCACATTCTGACCTTTTACAGAAATCAGATGCAGTCTTCACATTGAAGTAAAGCAAAGGACCCTTTTCCATTTTTGCAGACATGTTGGGCGTTTAGAACTAGTTGGTGCTCGATGGGGATGTGGTCAACATCACACCGGCTGCCTTTACTTCCTAGGACTTTACCTGGTACCTGTTTGAGACCGATTTGACCTGGGAGCCAAAGTCATTTTTGAAAGTCAGGCTCTGGTTGGATTTGAATCCATGACCTTTGAATCCGCAGGCGAGCACCTAGCTGCTACACCACATCAGCTCCCATTCAGTGAAGGTTAACTGCTCTTTAAGACTGGTTCGACATGGGAGCCAATGTCATCTTTGAAAAAAATTAAAAACAATCAGGCTCCGGTTGGATTTAAATCCACAACCTTCGAATCTGCAGGCAAGCAACTAGCTGCTACACCACATCAGCTCCATTCAGTGAAGGTTAACTAAAAAGGGCCTCCTATGTGCTTTATCTGTTGACCTGGTTATACACTCAGACTTTTCTTGATGTTTTCTTTCTACATGCTTGTTGTTTATCTCCTCCTCTTCTTTTTTACTTCAGTATGATTTTTATAAAAGTTTGCTGCTTTTAACATGCCAGAATATTTCACTTCTCTGTTTTTGTTTTTGTCATTTTACTTTTCATAACTACCTTTTCTATTTTATTGTTTTTGTGTTCATCATTTTACTTCTCATAACTACCTTTTCTATTTTATTGTTTTTGTTTTCATCATTTTACTTCTCATAACTACCTTTTCTTTTTGATTGTTTTTGTTTTCATTATTTTTTACTTCTCATAACTACCTTTTCTTTTTGATTGTTTTTGTTTTCATCATTTTACTTTTCATATCTACCTTTTCTTTTTGATTGTTTTTGTTTCCATGAAATATGGCATTCCTCTGGATGTCCACGTCTCCAAAACATGAATTTCATTTTCTGATTGCTTGTAAATTTGGCCTTGAACGACTTGCAGCTCCAGAGAACATAAAGGGAGAAGTTTTAGTATTTTGGCCGATGAAGTAATGTGTGTTCGGATTAAGAGGAAGGAAGACTACCACATCATGAGATAGGGACGAGATGTTTCCTGATTTAATGAGAGTAGCAGGAGATTACGAGTAAGAGCAAGACAAAGTAGAAAGGTAGTCGAAGAGGTTGAGAAAAGAAGTGAAACAGAATAGTGAGACAGTGGAGTAGAGGAAATGGAAGATGAGGGAAGCAAAAGCAACAACAACAACAAATATTTCATGTCTGTTAACTAATTTTGTGTTTGCTTTAACTGTTTCAGACAGTTTAAATGTCAAACAGAAATGGATTTGAAACAGCCATTTTCCCCTGAGTCTGTATATGACGCTAACCCAAACTCTGTGAGGACTGTGGACGAGTATGTTTTTTTTTAAATATATATAATGCTCCTTGTGTCTTTTATTCTTGATATTGTAGATAGCCTCATTCATAAGCAACCTTTTGAATTTCATACATTTAATTGGTGATGATTTATGCCCGTGTGGTTTCTAGGGAATCATTTATAAAATACCCCCCCCCCCTTTGCCCCCAATCCACTCAACAAGCATGTTGTCAAGGGCAACTAAATAGTGGTGTTTTATTTAAAGTTAGAGTGGTCTGCTTGAAAAGCTAGAAACCAACAGTCTGCATAAAAATAAACCAGGTGTGCTAAACTCAAATTCTGTAACAAGATCAAAGTCCAGAAGTGGGCATGCAACAAGAACTTCTCACCAGAGCTTACAGCCTGTGAACGCTAAGGAGGAGGAGAGGAGATAATAATTCCATTGTTTCTCTATAATCTGTTTAACACTGTCTACTTTTTCTACAATTTGTTTTCACACTGTATCTAAGACATTTATAACCTGTTTATGCCACACAAGTTACTTTTTGTATGACTGTCTCACAGAATCTAAAAATTTTCTACAGTATCTGTCTAAAGACATTTCTGCTTTTTAGGAGCAGTGTGTCTCAGGGAGAGGGGGGGGGGAGAGTGGTCTCAAGGCATGGCGTCCACCTCGAGTGCTGGAGGTCCTGGGTTCAGGCTGGTATTATTTCAGGTGGACTTCTAGTAATTTCCGCTGGTCTCTGGGCAGTAAGATTGAACACCTCTGTAAATTGTTGCGCTCGTAAAAAAAATTCCTTGGCAGTTGGAAATCGAAAAGAGTAGTCTAACGATGCTGTGCGGGCAAAATTTAGAGTTAAAAATCTACCCAAAGAATTTTCAGGATCCTCCCCGATGCTACGGAGTTCCTGCACAGGGCTGAGATTCTTAGGACTCAGGCTTGAGTTAGAAGTAGAACGGAGCACTTATGAGTTACTATCCTTGTTCCATGATGTTATCCAGTGTATAAACCAAACCAGGAACTGTGTTACACAAAACCTGATGATTTCATTTTCTCTGTTGCTCATCTCACAGCCTAGCATATACACCTCTGACTGAGATGCCTGATGGGATCGCAGACATGGACATCACCCAGCTGACAGATTACATGCCCGAGGACATTGACGAAATGAATGACATCAACATTGAGCAGCTCCTTGCTCAGCATCAGTTTTCTATGTGAGAATATTGTGATGACAGAATGATTTCTAGAGTCTCTATGAGTGATTGTTTGTTTGCAGAAAGTCCTGGTTGTTGGTCCATTTTTAGACTTTGGCTGTGTTCAAGAACCTGAGTTTTGCGCGTGCACCTTTTTTTTTTTTTTTTTTTTAAACAGATCTGACCTAATTGTTAACAGACAGTTGGTTCCTTGCCTTTCCGGCAGATGCATTCCGATTTCGAAGAAGACTCCCAATTAGTCGACTCTTACGACATGCTTGTTTGGAAAGCACTGTGTCTATTCTTGTTTTCACTTCACCACAATGGGACCCCTGAAGCCATACAGGAATGATGCGTGAATGATGTCACCATAATGTGACATCTCAGATTTTTTCATATTTGTGGCAAAGAATTTGCTGCTGATGAAATAAAAGAAATTGGCAATGCAGGAACAGGGAGCAGTTGTCTGTGTTAGTTATTTACAATATCCTGTATATTTGTGTATTCATATTTGGCTTAACTATTGCTTCTAGAAGGCTAAAGCTAGTCGCTTCCCGTGAATGTGGATATATCACCATTTCTGCAGTGACCTGCTCTTGAAAAGCACAGTTAAATGCCATTTGTTGTGTGTGTTTAGGGGGCCTCGGATGTAAATATATTAATTAACTAAATATAGCATTTGGGGGAGGGGGGAGGGGGGCTTTCATTGTAAACCCAATAGCTTCGACAGGTCAACTAAAAATATTTCCGAAAGCCTTGAGAGAGAGGTCACAACATGAGTCACCCAATACTCATTGTTTTAGGCCCTGTTTCACTTTGTTCTTGTTTATTGATTACTCTGTTAATATATTATTACATATTTCAAAACAAAAATGGATTCTTTTAAGGATATTTTCAGGAAATTCCCACTGGTCAATGCATGCCCCCCCCCCCTTTTTTTTCCCCCCTGTTTACAGCATTAATACGTCAAAAGGGTTAATTTTCAGCACATTCCATGCCAAGTAATTTGCAGAACATTTATTGGTTACTCCATAGATTACATTCATGCGTGAGAATCTTTGATCAAGTTTGGGTAAATAATGTTATGACTGTTTTTGTGTGATATGTGGTATAGAATAGTTTAAAAAGATTAGAATGATGAATAGTGGCTGCCTAAGCAGATAAGAATACTGGGCTCTCGTTAAAGTTAATTGTTGTTGTTGATGGTTAAAATACAGTACAGCCCAAAATCCTCAGGCTGAAACAGCTTCCCTTTTTTCCTGCCTCCGCCTACATTACTAAAGTGTTAAATACGGCAGCAGTAATGGCATTTGTGTGTGCAGAATGATGACTGATTTAGTTGATTCAGTTAAACATGGAGTAACTCGTCACATAGGATGATTTGTGGTATAGAATAGATTGAGAAAACATCGCTGTAGCCATTCATGGTAGTAACTCGTCACATAGGGTGATTTGTGGTATAGAATAGATTGAGAAAACATTGCTGTAGCCATTCACGGTAGTAACTCGTCACATAGGGTGATATGTGGCATAGAATAGATTGAAAAAACATTGTTGTAGTCATTCATGGAGTAATTCTTCACATAGGGTGATATGTGGTGAAGAGTGGGTTGAGAAAACATTGCTGTAGCCATTCATGGAGTAACTCGTCACATAGGGTGATATGTGGTATAGAGTGGGTTGAGAAAACATTGCTGTAGCCATTCATGGAGTAACTCGTCACATAGGGTGATATGTGGTATAGAGTGGGTTGAGAAGACAGAGAGTGCTTCTGTCATACAGAGAATAAATAATGATTTGTTTTAATTTGCGGTATAGAACGGCCAGCGTAATGGTGACCACATTACCCACCAAGTGCCGATTGGTCTGTAAAAATATGGGTGGTCTTCCCATATGCCCGATGCGCCTGAAGGCGTGAAAAGGGATCTTTACTTTATAGAATGGTTTAGAAAACTGAGACTGGTTTGATATTATAGGGATCAACTTTGGTGACTTGTGGTTTTGAGTACATAATGAAGACTAAGTGTTGAGTCACACAGAGAATAACTTATCAACATATAGGTGATTTGTGGTTTTAAGTACATTATGAAGACCAATCGTTGAGTCACACAGGAACTAACTGATCAATGTATGGCGACTTATGGTATATAATGGGTTGAGAAAACAGAGTTCTTTGAAATTCATGGAATAATTGATCAATCAGTGTTTGATAATTTGTAATTTTGAATAGTTTAAAAAGAGACTTTACGTTTTCAAATAACCAGGCAGTGACTAGCAGAGCATTTTTCTTTTCAGCTTGTCTGTACAAAGGCATGGCTTACCTTTTAGTTGTATAATATTTTAGTGTTATTCTTAATGTTGAAATTGCTGAAAACTGAACCATTGTTGTACACAACACCATGTGATAGATAGATTGTGTATTTTTTACCTAATAAAAGATAAATGTACACATGTTGTATAGATGGTTGCCAGTTGTAAACATACACATATTGTACACAAACTTGCTAAGATGCTCAAGTACTTTTATAATTTTGTAACTTCACAGCTTTGTTCTTTTAACTCTTTTATTCTCAAGGAATTTATAATGTGTAATTTTTCTCAGTTGAATACTAGCTATCTTATAATGCATTTTCTTATTTTTGGAGTTTAATCTGTAAATATTAGAGGGGACGGCCACGGAAAACATGGATCGACAACATTAAAGACACACTACGCCTTCACGGCATGACAATAGCCAGTGGCAGCCAACGTGCACTGGATCGCAAATTATCCCTCCCCACGACGCTTAACGGCAGAAGTGGTTTATGATGATGATGATGAATCTGTAAATATTGAAGAAATCTGGCTTCTGTAGTGGCAACTTTCATTGATCGTGTATGTATCTTGTTTTAACAAGTCAAGCACTAATCCCCCCCCCCCTTTCCCAGTATTTATTATCTATCTACACTAACATCTGCGAAGTATTTTGGGACTGTGAGTTAAGACAAATGTTAAAATGTTTTATCTCTTAAACTTTTAGGACCAGAAGGATTTAAAAAGTAATGAAAAATATTGGTTATTAAAAGGCCTCTTTTCACATGTTTCGCCTTTGTGGTGAGAATATGCCACTTTTTCCTAGGAAAAATAATTGGTAGGTCTTATATTATTTGGTTGCACCTGTGTCCCCTGGCCATGAAAGGGTTAATAAAGAGAAAACATGTTAAATAGCTTTTTTTATCATTCAGATCTTGTTTATGTTTGTGAGTTTAAGGCTCAGGCTGTTTTGGGTACTATTTTTTTAAGCACTGGTCATGTTGATAATATTAGAATATGATTTCTGTGGAAAATTCTAAAAAATCCAGTGAATGGCTATAAAACTTCTTCTTTGCCTTTGCATTCAAGGGCTGTGAATGTCGGTAAAAACTCCTGGTTGTTCATCCACTTCTTGACTTGGTCTTATTCCTGGACTTGAGTTTTGTGTGCAGATGCACTCTAACTTTGAAGATATTCTGAGGATACTATTATCCATATTACTACATGAGGTCTTTTCATAAAAACATTAGATTACTCACATAATAAAAAACTCTTTTAAATCAACAATAGGTATCAGGAAGCTTCCTAGGAAGTAAAGTCAGCCAGTCTGAAATCGACCACATCACCCACTGAGTGCTGATTAGTCTACAAAATATGGAGGTCACACCATATGCCATATCCCCTACATGTTACAAAAAGGCCCTTTACCATTTACAAAAAAATCATGCGTTATAAAACAGATTGTAAAAATTAAAGGAACCTTTTCACACCAGTGGCATATCGGGACTATGATGCTGGACTAGTATTTTTCTAGACCAATTGGCACTCAAGGGGTGGATTTTGTCATCATATCAGCTGTCTTTATGTCCCAGACTTTATCTAGAACCCATTTATGATGGGTTATGATGGTTTGGCCTGGAAGCCACTTTCATTTTTGAAGAGAGAAAAATCTGACTCGATGTATATATGAATCCAAGACCTTTCGGGCTTGCAGGCAAGCACATAAGAAGATTGTAGCAACCATAAATATAGTGGAGAAATCTAAAGGAGAACATGCTGAGTGGCATGGCAGAATGAATGAATAATATCAGTGATTGAACTTACCAAGAAAACAAGATGTTTATGGAGGTTTATGATTGCAGGTGTTACTCAGCATGGCACATGAAGAAGATGATTTTAAAGTGTAGGGTAGATGTTGAGCATATTGTCGTGTGGGAGGGACTAGTGTTTTCATAAATTCTGTGATGCAAAGTAGCCTATTGCTAATGACATAAACCACAAATATGTTGAATATCCATCCATTTTACTGCTGCCACTATCACCTCGTAATATTATTGTTATCATGAGCATTTTGTGTGTGTGCTGTGTTCCATTGATATCGTCAGCAGAGTTATCAATATTGATTTAATCATTTCCATTGTAATCATCATTAGTAATATTGGTGCTTCATCACCCACATCATAGTCAGCCTTGTATCAACAATATTATCATTTTTCCTCAACTATATCTCATACCATAAAGTGATTCCTTAAATATTGTCCTTGACCAGTAAGAAGAATAAATCTGTGATTCTGAAATTTTTTTAGAAACAGTGCTTCTTAAAGTGTGGTCTTTTCATGTGGGTTCTGGGGTCTTATGTGGGGGGGGGGGGGGGGGGCGTGGGATAGACCCACTGCCTCCCTAACAAGCTTGTCCTACTAGAGTTTCTTTTGAAGTTGAAGTCTATCTGTCTGAGAGGCAGAGAACTGTCTGCAAACAGATAAGACAGATCTGTAGAACGAAAGTGCATGGAAAACTCAAAGTTCTGAAACAAGGCCGAAATCCAGAAATAGACAACAACCAGAACTTTCTGCTGGAGTTTACAGCTGGTGAACGCTAAGAAGAAGAAAGTGTGGTCTACGGTGGACTCAAAGACCCTTTCAGTGAATCCTTGAGTATTTGCAAATGGCTGCTTGATTTGCCTCCCATATGTTATTGTAAGGGAAGCAAAGAATAGTAGCACAGTAACTAACCTACCATGCATGTCATAAAAGACCACTCAGAAGAGCTGGTGTGAGACTGGCTACCGATTCCAGTAATAAACAGATGGGGAACCCTTCCTTAGAAATATTAAATGTAACAAACAAACATGTACTGAACAATACTCATAGAAAGAAATAGATGGATCACCAGACCAGATCAAATCAAAAGCTGAATTGAAAGAAAAATATAATTGAAAGTTTTGATTTCAAGCATTAGTAACTATCTTTTTCTTTTTCAGCATTCAGAGCCCTTGAGATTCATTGCTGCAGATATCACCCGCCTCCACTCATGTCTCCAGTTGGCCTTCTCTTTCTAGTTGGTGACACTAAGTGTTTGCAGGTCTGTCTGGACATTATCTCTCCATCGTCTTCTTGGTCAGTCTTGTGGTCTACGACCATTCAGCATAGTAACTATAGCTTTCAAATTTTATGTGGCCTAGTGTGTCCTATCTTTCTATAAGTGCCGATTAGTACATGTCTTGTTTGTTTATTATACCTAATCCAGTAGAAGACTTTCACTGAAAGATGAAAAGCAGAAGAAGATATGATGTGTAAACTTGAATAACGTATTGTATTGACAATAATATTTTATTTTAATAACTTGAAGGAGCCAGGGATAAAAGACTGTAAGAAGCACTGCTCTGATGTGTACATTCTATGCCTGTCAGCTTTCCGGAAGAAAACCTGTTCAACATACCAATAAAGTGTACGGATCATTAAACAAAAACAATCTTTTTTTTTTAAACATTTATTAGTTGTTGACTTGGGCAAAAACTACAGTCCTTTTTTTTAAATGGTTATCACCATTTATTTGTTGTTGACTTGGGCAATGATTCTGACCACTACTGGAAGATTCATCATTTATTTGCAAACCTCCAGAGACGTCTGAGAGAACACTGAGATTAAGTATAAGTAAAGGAGTAATGCTTCTTCTGCATTTGCCATTAAAAGGGTGGTTGGCATACAGCATTGTGGTTTACAGCTTGGCTGTGATATCTGTGAATTTTAGCCCAAAACATCTGATTTCAGATGTGATGTCTTTTATGTCATACTTGTCAAGTGGCAGTGGGTTCCTTCTTTTCGTTCCTCCTTAAATGGGGCCCTGGCACCTACACAGGAACCTACACTATCTGTATAGCTCTAGAGGGTTGGTATGTCATCTCGATACTGTAGCAGGTCTTTTGCAGAACGTCGCTTCCATCGCGGCTTGCCTGAAAGAAACTTGGTCCCTCTCCTGCCTCATTCACTGTCCTACCCAAGGTGATTACTATGTACTGTGCCCATCTTTGTGCTGGTCGGCTCAGGCTACTCAGCAGATGTGAAGTTATAATACTGGTCTTGAATATTCTAATCTTCGAGATGAGAAAAGAGAGCCTTGCCAGACATTCCCCTTTCAGATGGTACCAGGTGCGGAGGAACTTTCATACATGAATCTCTCTCTGATAGATAACATAAAGCATTTTCTTTTTCAGAACCAAGAAGACCTTAACGTTAATGCTTTGGGATTCAGTCTTTCATATGATTTTAAAATGTCTCTTTCTAATATTACTTTGAATTATTTTAACCTGGGCAAAGCTAACCCTGCCAAAAATACAGGAAAGAAGTAGGATATATAAGGCTGAAAGGATTGATGGATCAATCCGTCTGTCCCATCTGAGCTGCTACCTATAGGTGTACCATACTATTCTGAGATTTTAAAAAATCCTAATCTGGATGACAAACAAACAAGGCAGACACCCCGTTCAAACTCCAGAGAAGTTGTAAATAGGGCATTCTTAACCGCTACACCAACCAGGTGCAACTTGTAGTCCCCAGAGTGTAAGGATAGCCGAAAATGGCAAATATTTCAGCTTTTTATAGTAATCAGGCATGCGGAAAACATCACCTAACAATTAGAAGAAAAAGTGGGAACTTTTTAATCAGTCAGGTACTGTCTCCACAATAAAGGTTGGCTGCAATGACCTCCAACACGCTTTATCTCTTGTCTTGGTTTTACATTCTCTCAGACTGCTGTTCGTCCATCTCTTGATGTTGTTCTCCCACTTGTAACGTTGTCTACCTCTTGCCTTTGACTTGTCCCTTCAGTATGGTTTTTAAAAGCATGTTTTATTGTGTCTTTTAGTGTGTCCAAAATATTTCAATTGTCTCTCTTATTTCTTTCAATAATTCTCGAAGTGAAATCAAGAGGCCGCCCTAGGAAAACATGGACTGATGACATTAAAGAGCTTCTACATCGACAAGGGCTGACAATAGCCATTACTGCCCATCAAGCACTGGATCGCAAACTGTTTCTCCGGCTCTTCTTTGAATCGTTCCCCAAAATGGTGGCTTTAATATGATGGCGTTCGAAAGAGAGCTAAATTGGTCAATTTCTGGCCATAAAATATCCAAAAATATTTGAATGCGGGTCCGTTTTATTAAAAATATATGTGCCGGCTCCGGATAACGAAACAAATGCTCTGACAGGGTCTCGGCGATACGTTGCTTGCCGACCTGCTTCTGCGAGTGTGCCTCACCGCCAAGCGTATCCCCCGCGCCGCTACGCGCGGCGCGGATGGGGTCTAAACTAGATGGCTGGAACTCACAAGCGGCAGCTACCGCATCTCCTGCAACTTCCTCCAATTACTGTACTCATGAGTCCCAGGCACCTAGTTTAGCCCCCATCCGCGCTGCGCGTAGCGGCGCGGGGGATAGCTCGGCGATGAGTTTAATCGCGTTTGGCGCATGCCAACAAGTCTGACATCTACCGCTGCTAAATCCTCCAATCGGAAGAACACAGTATTGCTAATCGGCTTTCATCGTCTGTAATGTCTCGAAATTGGTCAACGGTCGCTAATATCGTCTGCTAGTATTGTCTGCAGAAACGCTCGAAATTGTTGACTGACTGACTGACTTTCTACCCCACCAGGACATCACACAAGCGACAAACACCTGATGACACAAAGTGCCACCATGCGGATGAGGATCACTGTGGAGAGGTCCCAGAAACCGCGTTCAGACAATTGGCCATATTGATGGCCTGCCTATATTGCGGCCCCTGGCAAAAGCCAGAGTGGGGCTTCAAATAACAAAAAATTACGTCCTAAGAAGGACGTAAGGAATATATGATCGAAATTGTTGTCAATGGTCGGTATTTATCGTCTGCTGCTAGTACCGTGTGCAAATGTTGATATTGATTGTCAAGTAATCCTAGTTTTGCCGCGATTTGTTCCTTGGCAGAAAGTCCGTATTTTAGATATACGCAAACACCGTCGTTCGGATATTTTTGGATATTTTGTGGCATGCCGCCATTTTGGGGAATGAATCAAAGGAGCGCCGTTTCTCCCTACAACGCTTAACGACAGAAATGGAAATGATGATGATAATAAATAATTCTCATTTCATTCGCAGTCTTTCCAGAACTTTCTGTATTTGTTTCCATGAAACATGACCTGTGGGAACTTTTACGCGATGGCTGAATAATAATAATTGGCCAGATCTGTCAACATTTTGTAAAACAATTTGTATTAAGATAGCTAGCCTAGAGAAGATAAACGCGCAGGCTGCCTGGGCGGACAATTAGTAACTGGGGATGTTGACGTGTTAGATCCGACCCCGACCACTGACCTGACATAAACGGAAAGTGATGACTGTACCGTACTCTAGCCTAGCGTTTGCACACACCTTAATTCTCTCACCTGATCGATCTTTTGCGTGCACAGAAAGACAAGCGGACAGCAGGTCGCCTACGGAGCAGGCCAAGTCCCGCTTTGGTCGGTCGTCTGCAGGTTGACGCTTGCGTGGGTGAGTCGTCGCACGGGCAGACGACAGGCACGGTATCGATGCCGTCCGCAGCACGATACTTACTCCCAGATACACCCAGCGATACACGATCTGCAGAGAAAAAAAGGAGGGGGGGGGGGAGGTAAGCCCTAGAATTTGTTATGTTACTCGACGTCACTGCACATTGGGCATTCCCATGAGTGCTCAGTCCCTATGATGCAGCAGCCAGCCATTCCAAGTTACCTCTGCTGATTGGTCCCATGAAAAGGTTAGTCTCTCCTGTATTGACCTCGAAGACGCCATAGACGTGCTTCACCAAGCTCTACTCCAAAATTCACGTAATCGCATAAAGAAGATGGCTAAAGGCCCCTCTCTTCACCAACCACGTATCTTCTTCTGTGTAAAATGTATATGTTAAAATTATCTTTTTCAAGTGTTTGTTTATACCTGTATTCTTTCAAATATATTGATTTGCTATTTAGCACATTATTATTAAATTAGTATTACATACTCAAACAAGACATATGCCCCTTAGTTAAGCCATTTCCCCCATGAAAATATTTAATTAAG